TAGAACTTCATCAATACATGGCAGGGACAGGAGAGCACAGGTAAGAATCAGCGTCAGGCTTACCCAGGCCTTCTGTCCTCAGATAAAAAGATGGGATACCAGCACTCTGTGGTGACAGCTCTCTTAAGCCACACTGCTCCAATCTGGACCAGTACCCTTCTACAAGTGAGGAAGTCTCCCACTCTAGGCTCTCTCTTCAATAGCTCTCTGGAGAGTGGGTTTCATATCATTCCCGTGCAGAATCTCTTATTTCCTGTAATATTTATTACATACACTTCCCTTGGTGGAGCATGTCCTCCAGGAGCTTCTTTAAAAGAGGTGTATATGTATGAGAGAGAAGGTTTTTTGAGACCTTGAATATCTCGAAAATGTCATTATTATTGACATTTTATTAATCGTTTGGCTAGGTATAGAATTATAGGTTGGAAATAATTTTCTTTCAGAAATTTGAAGGCATTGCTTATCTTTTTGTTTTCAGTGTTTCTGTTGCTATATACACAGACACTCTAATTTCTGTTTCCTAATTTTTTTTTTCTTTTTCTCTCTGGAAGCCTGGAGAATTTTTTTCCCTGGGCATAGGGCCCAATGACAGTCTTCCCTATTTACAACCATTCTCCAGGGTTCTAGGTAGGCCCTTTCAATCTAGCAACTCATGCCCTTCAGTTCTGGAAATTTTGTCTTGAATTACTTTATTTGATTATGTCATCCTGCTTTCTCTGTTGTCTTTTTCTGGAACAGCTGTTTTTGGATTTTGGATTTTCTCTGCTGGTTTCTCTTTGTGTTTTTCTTTCTGGAAGACTCCTAAAATTTATCTTCTAAACTTTAAATTCTTTCTTTTTTTCACTTCTGCTGTCATATTTTTAATTTCTAAGAGCTTATTTTTGCTCTATGAATGTTCCTCATTGATCATACCTTGTTCTTGTTTCATGGCTGCAATAGTTTCATCTCTCTCTCTCAATATATTAATGACAGTTTGGTTTTTTTCCTCTGCATAGGCTGTTTCCCCAAGTTGATATTTTTCTGTTTTATTATGTCTCCATTTTCCATGTTAGAGGCTGTCCACAAATATCCAGTGATCCCTGGATTGTTCAGGGGAGCTAAAATCCTGATTGAAAGCTCTGAGGGTGGGGAGCAACTTGCCAACTTTGAACTTTATTATAGGGTGATGGCGGGAGGGGGGTACATTTGTTGGAAAGATGACTGATGTTACTACCTTGAGGTCTTTCCTCTTGGCTGCTCAGTACCCCAGAGAAAAGTCTTTCAATCTCTAGAAGATAAAGGTGTCAGTGACCTGAGAGCTGAGTGGGGAGTATCAACTTTTAGCATTGAGCACTCAACACATATTGTCACTTAATTCCCCTTCTTTGTGAATAGCACCAACACACTCAGCTGTGCCTGGCCTCCATCCCCCATCCTAGCAGTCCTGTTTTACTCCAGACTTTGGTCAGGGTAGCAGTGACATAGCATAGGAGAATGATACTTAAGGACAGAACTGCTTCTCAAATTGCTCTCACCCCGTTTCCCTCATACCACCAGTTCCACGGCTACCTGCTTCCACCAGTCCTGAGCCCTTTGTGAAATTCACAGTGTAAATCTAGATTGTTCTGAGCTTTCTTACACTGCTGGCTTAGGATTCAACTTTGTTAGGTTAACTCAGTTCCCAACTTCCCATCTACTTTCCAGCTTCACAATTTTGTTGCTATTGTCTTCTGTCCTTGTGAGTTGATATCTTTAAAAGAAAAATCATTTGACTCTAGATTCTAGTTTTAGAGAGGAGAAAAATGATATGCCGTCTCACCCTAGAAAACATTCAATATTTCAGATTCTTAACCTGATTATCCTCACTCTTACGTACAGTGTGCCCATTTGTGGAAGTTTTGCTGTGGGATTTGTTTTATTTTTGCTTTTGTTTTGAGGGCTTTAGTCCTTCCTTACTTCCTCAGCCAGTGTTCCTGGCTCTATGCAGGATAATTACATCAGGATCATTTCAGAGCTACAGTTACAAGGCAGGAAGTGGGCCACAACACAGTCCTGCAAGGGTAACTTCTGTCCTTAAACTTCAGCACACTGGATGGTCAAGAACTGCTGGTCATGTGCATTCTGTTTCTTCTGTTGGATCTGTCTTGCCAACATATAAAATAGCATCTATGGTGTTAGCACCATGCTCCCCTTGCTTGGCCCATCAAGAGGAGTGCATCAGTAGTAAGTTGTAGATTAGGGGTGCAGGACAAAGTAGAGAGACCAAGCCCCCTTCCCACAGGGGGCTTCCTGGCTGCCACAGGCCTGAGCCAGAGCAGGGAGAAGACTAACCTCGCTAAGTCAAGCTTGGGGTGTTGATTACTATGTGGGCATTCTCACCTGCATATACTGTTTGCAGCTTCTCCCCCAGGGCAGGGGCTCTTACGTGGAGCCATGGACCCAGTGGGTCTATGGGTAGAAATTCATATTTCCATCTTGAATGGGGAAAAAAATTATTTTTCCTAAACTCTAATTGAAACATAGCATTTCATATAATATAAAATGCTGGTGGCAAACCCCAGCAGTATTATCGGTACCTGTGACTGTGTCATCCGTAGAAATCAGATATTTACAATTTACATTAGATTGTTGCAGACGTCTCAAAATACCATTCACCTTCATCACTATGTCAAAACTACGGTGGCTATTAGACCCACCATCAGATCGTGCAGTTTAGTATGCCAATAAAGCAGCACAGCACCAATGCTGTTAAGTATCACAGTGTTTCTAAAATATCTTGGGAATAGTCTTTGAATATCATTGATTTCCTTTGTATTCCTATGCATTTTATTTTATTCATTTAAAAACATCATTGCAAGGGGTTCCTGAGCTTTAGAGGAGTCTGTGACATAGAAAACTTGAGACCCTGGTCTGGAGGGATCAGAAGATCATGAGCTTGCAGGAGGGTGCACCCCAGCAGAGAAGGGTGCTCAGTACCCCAGTACCTCAGTACCCACTCAGTGAAGTGTAAAGGGCTGTGAGTGACGGCAGTCATCCTGCATGCTAGGTACACAGTATGCTGATCACCACAGGCCAGTCTGATGAAGTGCTAGGATGGGCACGGTGGCAGGGATGGAGGAGAGGGTCTGGCTCAGGCTTCACGGTCAGGTATAGCTGCTGGGAAGAGCAGTCTCTGAACTGAGACGTGTGGGGAGGACAGGAGTTGGGTAGGGAAATGCCACAAGCGGACAGAGTGGGAGTTCTAGGCAGAAGCAGGGCCTGAGTAAAGGGCTGGAGGAGAGGGAGCATGGCAGTTCTGAGGAACAGTTTCCATGTCCGCACCCGGGATCGAAACTGGCAAACCCGGGCCGCCGAAGCAGAACGTGCACACTTAACTGCTGCGCCACCGGGCTGGCCCCTCAAACTTTTTTTTTAATTGAGGGTGATCACAGTGCAAGACTGAGAGAATTTTTTAAAAATCCCATTGATATATCTTAACAAATGAAGGTAGCTTGAGCTCTTAATGTTGAAAATTGCTTCTCTATTTACAAATAGATTACTATTTTCCAAGTTAAAAAAAAAAAGAGCCCTTTGTATACATTAACTCATTTAGTCCTCATAACCCCCCCTCACGAGAAAGGTACTGTAATCATCCCTATTTTACCAGTGAAGAAGCTGAGGTACACGTGGGTTAGGCCCCTTATTCACAGTTACCCCACTAGTAAGTATATGAAGCCAGGTTCGAAGCCAGGTTCAAAGCCAGGCAGGCTGGCTGCAGAGCTCAGACCCGTGGTCATGAAAACATGCTGCCGCTTATTTATATTGTCCATGACTGTGTGTCTGTGTGTGTTGCAGAAACTCTTTGCAAAGCTTGCTTTATTGAAACAATTCATTCTTTGATCACCCATTCAAGCACTGTGCATGGCAGAGGGAGGCAGCAGCAGACCATAGTGCTCAGGGCCCAGGGCATGGGTCTAGGTAAACAAGTATAAGGGCAGTAAGGATGCTCATCAATTAAAACGATGCTACAAAGTGAGAGCAGCCAGCCTCATCCTAGTTTCTGGGTTGAGGGAGGAAATGTCCTGAGGACGTGATGTTTAAGCTAAAACAGAAGGATGAGCAGGAGTTAGCTAGGCAGTCGGGCACGAGGAACAGGAGTGAGTGTCAGAGGAAAGGACTAACCCCTGACTGAGAGGTCCTGAGGATGGTCAGAGCACATCCTGAAATTTTTCCACAAAAGCCTCACTATTCCTGGCCGTCAGGTCTCCAGCTGGTTGAGACCTGCGGCCCACCAGCCAAGATGATCTGCCAGGCCGCAGCACTCGACACCAAGGGCATATGCTTTTCTCCCAGCAGCCAGCTGCCTGGGCCGGAAAAGACGTGTTTCAGAGGCGCAGGTTCATGTAGGCACGTCGTAGAAGTAAAATTACTTCAGGGACGCCGGCGATAAAGCTGAAGGGAACCCCCAGAAGGCCAAAGGCAGCGTGTTTTATTGAGCTTACAACGCAGAAAGTATTTGTAGTTCCTTAGACATTTGCATTGCTATAAAAATTACACTTTGTGGTATAATTATTAATGGTTTGAAGAGAAATAAACAGTAAAAACAAAATATGGCCGATACTATGAAAATATAAACCATATAAATCAAAACCATAAAACAATTACTCAATACTCAGAGGCCTACTTAATATACACCTATGAAATTTCTTACACACGTATACAATAAAAGCCCACAAAAACCATCACTCTGAAGCCGATCACTGTACAAATATGAAAATAAATCTTTATCTTTAACCTCAACTTTATCTTCGGCAAGAGGGCTGTGTGACTTGGGTTTATGCAAATCACATTTAGTATTAAATAATCAAGTGTCACATACGTCATACAAAGCAGCAAGTGGAAAAAAATAAATTATGAAAATGTATGAGGTTAAAAGTTAACAGTGAAAAATGTTATCCAATGCTCTTCTCCATGATGAAATTAAAATATTATCCAATGTGTCAGGATACATAAAAAATTAGCATACTACAGTTGTGATTTTAAAAGCTCTCAAAGGAAAAGTTGAGTCAAGATGAGTTACTTGCATGGAACTATGCAAACGTATCAAATTAAGTCTAAGCTAAAAATATTAAATATTGTTGTTCTTACTGAAAATACACTTTAAATTTGAGAACACCTTCATGAAATCAAATGTTGGTAACAATTATGATTTCCCACCAATGCAGCTGAAAGAGCTTTAAGTAGCTTTTCTTTAATCAAGATTGCTAACCAGAGCTATAAATCTCTAATGTGGATTCTGCTGCCAAAATATTTATCCGGGTTCAAACAGTTAAAGATGATTGCTTTGTCTAATAAGGGGGCCTCTGTAAATCTCCCAATTTGGGTGCACTGCCAGGCAATCCAGAGACAAAGACAAGATAACACTTCTGTAGCAAAGGTACACTCTATGTACAGACTGTCAGACAAATACAGAGACACTTTTGGGGAAAATAAATAAAGGCAACACAAGAAAATGCATACTAACACATGTGTGCAATTGCACCAAAGCCCTAAACACACGTCCCATATGTCAACACATACACATCAGGTCCCTTCTCACCGGGGCTCCATGGATGCCCGAGGCAAAGAGCAGTGGCAAAACTTTTGTCTCACCGCAGCACAAAAATAACAAGCCCTCCTTCCCCACAGTGTGACAGTGCCTCACAAGCAAGGCATTCTGTTAGGTCAAAAATGTAAACTTTTTTTCTGGGACCAAAACACATGAAACAGGAAACAGGAATCCATGGTAGAGGTGCTAAGGATAGATTCAACTTTGCAGTGAAAGACCTAGATGTCGTCCGCAGAGAGAAGGCATGCTTTTAAAAGTTAACTGACGTCACGGCAGTTTATAATCTGCATGTGTAACATATCTGTCAATTTCATGAAAAAAAACGAAGCGGGAGAATTTAAGTTTCAATCATAAAATCATAAATAGGAGAAAAACTGCTACAAGGAATTGTTCTAATTCAACAAAAAGGAATGTTTTTAGCTTATATAATACAATAAATAACAGCTATTATTTGAGTTTTGCCAGCAAGCTCCCCGGGGCTTGAACTATATGAAGCAAGGTGAGTTGAAATCTCCGGCTGGGAATAACTTCATTGGGTCAGGGCACTGAAAACCGAAAACCAAAAACCAGGCTTCACTGACGCCACTAGGGGCCTCTAGAGACGTGGACTCCTTCAGCTCTTGGAGACGTTCAATGGGGAAGACGGGAGGCACTGCAGGTTCCAGAAGGAGAGCAAGGTCAACCAGGTCCTTGGTGAGGATGAGTCATCAGTCACATTAAACAAAGGACTGACTCACCTTTCCCAGCCGCAACTCTTCTTTTACAGAGATTATTTTCCAAAACCACACGTACCATTTCTTTCATTGTTCATTATTGAAGGAACTAAATGCCAGCGACTAGGGAGTCGGGATTTGCATTATACTGGAGATTATGTTTTTAAATCATGGGAAGCTTTGAAATAAGCACGCATATTTTCATTTGGCAGAATGTTAAATCATTCTAAGTACTGGCATATTTTGTTAGTAAGATATCATTCACATACCATAAAATTCACCCTTTTAAAGGACATGGTTCAGTGTTTTTTAGTGTATTCACAAAACTGTACAACCATTACCACTGTCTAATTCCAGAACCTTCTCATCATCCACCAAATCAACCACATATCCATTAACAGTCACTCCCAGTTCCTCCTTCTCCCCTGGCAACAACTCGCTGGTATTTTTTAAGTGAAGAGTGACAACCTTCCTGGGCATTGTATTTTCTGAAGAATTTTTATATGGTTTCATTAGAATTTTTAACATTGAATTTAAACCACGGACTTTATAAGTCTTCTGAGATTATAAAATACCCTCTTTTATATACAGCTATTTTTGTCACAAAAATGTTTCCTTTATACATAAAAAAATAGATTTTTCTGTCTCCACTGGAGCCTAAAATACTACCACTTTTTCTCAATTAAATTCTGTTCTTGCCTCAGAAGTAAGAAAAATCCATACTCCAATGTTTACAAAGTATGAATAACCAGAGTCCTTACTAAGTGTGGGCTGGGGTGCTCTCCTCCCACTGCTTCAGGTGCTACAGAATCTGAGACAGCCCAGGCCCGCCAGGCCATGCTGCTTATTCTACAGAGAGGAAACGTCTAATGTGGGCTGGGGACCTATCCAAGACCACAAGGCTAGTTAACAGCAAAGCTAGGATGATACCCCTCTTTCACTAGTACTCTAGTATTGAATATTTGAAGTAAACATCATCATAGGTTATCTACAAAGTCAGCTACCACATGAATCTAAGTACATCAGTGAGTTTCTTCTACAGCTTTGATCTGAGCATGTGATTATTTACCACTTTAAAAATATTTACATGTTATCTTTTAAGACTGTAAGGACAAGACAAGTATATTTAACCTGAGGGACCAAACTGTTCACTGAAACTAGCGAAGAAGAGCCGGGGTTCTGGAGGGACCCAAGAGCATAGTTCAGATTTCCCACACTGTACTCTCCATATGACAGTGTCCAAAGGATGCACCACTCTAAGAAGCAAGCAAGTCACACAAATTCGGTACTCTGGACACAAGGAGTTCACTGGCCGAGGATGTTTGAGATTTAACTATTGCAACAATTCTTCATCTGGATTGTCTTTTTGGAATTGGTCCCAGTCAGATTGGTAATGGATTTGCTGTCATCCTCATCAATTCTTTTTTTCACTTCCCTAGAGAGAGAGAGAGAGGAAGGATTACTGAGGTATAAAATGAAACCACAAATGGCTCTGGAGAAATAAAAACAGCACGGCTGAGTGCTTCTGTGTGCCATCCAGACATTGCTCTAAACGCTTCATAGGTACTGACTTCTTTAATCTTCACAAGAACCACATGAATTTGTTGTGTCCATTTTATACGTGAGGAAATGAAGGCAAAAAGAGGTTAAGAAACTTCTCTTAGGTCACACAGCTGGAGAAGTGGCAGAGCTGGGATTCTAACCATGCAGACTGCTCCTGCGCCTGCCCTCTGAGCACCAGGATGTGCACACACGCACAAGCACACACAGAGACACACATGCACATGTGCATGCACACACTCACAGCCTACTCTTGCTCTCTCTTGCTTTATAGTGTGCCACATACACAGCTCACTCCTTAACTCTCTGGAACCTGGCTTCCATCCGCACCTAATGCTTGCCGACCTTAGCAAAAGCAATAACGACTCTATAGCCATTCTTTCATTAACCTGAGCATGGAGATAACAAAGAATGGTTAAAATCCAGCAAAAAAATCTCTTCCTTTTGCCTCTTCCTAAGTTACTTTTAGAATGAACCAGTAGGGGCCACACCGAGAGACCTCCGTGATCTTACGAAAAGCCTCTAAGGAAGCGTCCTTCCCAAGGCAGCCCTGGGGATGCTGTGAAATATGCAGATTCTAAGTCCCACCTTCGACAGGCTGAGTGACAAGCTGTGGGTGAGGGAGCTCCCCAGATGGCCCCAGACAATTCTGCCCTCCCTCGTCAGTGCCTGGCACTCCCCATCAGGAGGTGGAGCTTGTGCCACTCTCAACCTTGCCACTTAGAAGCTGTGTCACTTTGAGCAAGCTGATTAAGCATTCTAGATCTCAATTTTCTTATCTGTACAATGGGTATAATAATCACAGCATCCCCACAAGACAATCACAGAGAGCCGCACATCTCTCCCCTCTGGGAGGTCCAATGGCCTCTATCAACTACATACCGTATGGCTGCCTGGTCACATGTTTTCTTGACCAGGGTTCAATTGCACAGCTGTCTTATATTCCCTTTGATATCTCTATTGAACCTAGTGCGGGGTTTTCACATGCTGAGTGCTCATAATACTGCGGACAATACCGAACCTGAAAGCAAATATTAAGGGAGAAAAATAGGTACTCCCATCTTTCATCTGGCCTTTAGTTTCTTTAATCTACCAAAAATGCAGGCTTATCCCACTTTAAGGAAATCAGAAGGATAAAATTTCCAATATCTAAAACAGGTTTAAGGCTGGGAAAATTGAATTACCTCACCAAAAACTACCATATCCTTAAGGCTGCATTTTAATGACTCAGTCTTCTGGACGCATTCACACCCAATGGGCTTGGCACTTGGGCTGAGCCGACGGATCAGCTGGAGCTTTTTGTGTTTTTCTCAAATTTCAGGCCATTGATCAATTAAATCCCTGTCGAATGTGAATCTATTGCAGAATGCGTAGAGCCTGTGGTTCTGGTCATGGCAGATTTACTTACCATCGGACGCTGGTTGTGACAGACGACCTGTGAGAACTACAGGGAACTGCATTTCCAGGAGGAACTTTTCCTCAGATTGAGATATGTTCCAAGAAGCAGGAGAGACATTCAGATTGTTAACCAAACATTATGGTCTCCCTTCAGAAATGAATTCTGTTTCAGACAGTGCAAATCCACACTTCTCTCTTTTTTTTTGTTTCCTGAGGAAGATTCGCCCTAACATCTATTGCCAATCCTCTTCCTTTTGCTTGAGGAAGATGGGCCCTGAACTAACATCTGTGCCAACCTTCCTCTATTTTGTTTGTGGGTCACCACCACAGTGTGGCCACTGACAAGTGGTGTAGGTCTGCGCCCGGGAACTGAACCTGGGCCTCCAAAGCAGAGTGCTCCAAACTTAACTATCAGGCCATGGGCTGGCTCCCACAAACTCTTCTAATTCAAGTTTGAAGACATGACACGGGGTGAAAGGACCTGTGTTGGGAATCATGAGATCCAAATCAAGGACTGACATGTTCTGCATTCTATGTAACTTTCTAAAGGCTGGGAAACTTTCTAAAATGACAATTTCACCTGTGGAGACTATATTGTTTCCATTTAAGACTTAGGTACTTCGACAAGAAAACCTGAAGGCACAGTATAAAGCAAATTAAAGTCTTTACCTATTTGCTTTATTCATACTTAACGCATCGCTAACATAACTAAGCTAGAGGCCTCAAACCAGGTCATAATGCAATAACAGCACTAAAAACTCCTTGATAAGTGATTCACAAGAAGTGGCCTTATCATCAAAACACCTTTGTGCAAAGGTGGTTTAAGTAACTGAACACCAGTCTGTGTGGCACCTACAGGGCGGCCTGCCTGGCTGACTCAGTGCAGCACAGGCGGTGACAACCTCTCCCATCTTAACGACACAATAAAGAGGATCGATTCTGCACCCTGGGTGTGATGTGGCAATCTGGAGTCATTTAGTATGACCCCATGAGATAATTCAGCATTAGAGATTATGTTACTCAGAGGAGTACAGGCTCTTACATACAGAATCACACAATGTTGGAACCAGAGAGGACCTTAGAGGTCACTTTCTCAGCCCCCTCCCTCACTTCATAGACGACAGATGCCTACAGGAGGACAGGGACTTGTTCAAGACTCCACAGCTAGTCAGGGGCAGATTTCAGACTGGACGTTGAGCCTCCTGACGCCACGATCCTCTAGTACGCTGGGCAGCAACAGTGAGCACGCAGAGGGCCCTGCCTGCAGCATCCTTTCCTGCTCGGCCAGAGCAGCGATGCAGCACCCATTGCCTAAGGCTATGGCAGCAGAGAGCTCCAGTCCAGCCTGGGCCCAACCACGCTCTGAAGACCTGCAAGTCCTCCCCCGTGCCTCAGAAGGCACATCTCTTCCATCCAGGAATCTGCAGGTACGTTTCAGTGAAACATCAACACAACCATCCGAAAAGGTGAAAACACCTACCAATTCAGCAGTTATTCCATCTTCAGGGCATTTCACTGAATCTCCCCCCTCTTTACTGAACGGATCTTGTTTGGCCAACATGGCTGGTGGTCCCTACACCTCAAAGGTGCATGGAATCCATTATTTCACCCAATTTATAAAGGTTTTACTCTGGCTCTCATTTGACAAATGTGATATTAGCCCACGATTCTACTAATCACAGACAAAAAACAAGGAATTCACTGGAATCTAGACATCTTTCAACATTTGCCTCTTTTCCACCTGTTCTAGGTCACACCCAAAGTGTGCACTGTTTTGGCTTTAAACAAAGATGATTTCCAGTGTGGTGCAGGGAGGTGACTCCCCCTCTGGGACTGATGTGAAAGGAGATAATGTTCAAAGACTGAGTTCCAGCCCAGGCACCTGACACGCAGGCGACCTCAGGTCCCGGGGCCGTCTCCTCTCTCAGGTGAGGGCCTGGTCTCTCCGAGGCCCAGCCCAAGACTCTAACAGAGTTCTATTCTAGGAAGTACTATAAACACCAACCACCAAGTCATTAGTAGAAAAGCAGTATTTCAAAACACTGCAAAGTGTTTTAATTGTCAATATATAGTAGCAGAAGAGGCCAATTATCATACTAAAGTTAAGATTCTTGTAAAACCTCACAAACGATCAGGAAAAGAATTACACACCTAAAATTATGTTCTTGCTTTATCAGCAATTAAAGATCATTGACCTGGGTTTTATTAACGCACGTTTTGATTTTTTATTTTGGGTTTTTTTTTTAATATATATTTAATCTCTTTAGGCCAGTAAAGAATCATCTTTTCATTTGCGGCAGAAAACTAGGCAGAAGAGATAAATCTAACAGATAACATTATTTCCTAAGAATACGCCAAGGATTAAAACCCTCACATTTATATCCAAGTTCTCCAATGATGCAATTGTCATTCTAATCTACCTCTCAAGTGTCATTTATTATTAACACCATTGCCCTTGCTTAATAATTACCTGGGTAATAATTTTAGCAAAGTGCTTTCCACTGGCATGATATATATACAATTTGCTTGGTTGCATTTTTTTTCCCCTTTACCCCAGAAAACGTCAGACAGTTATATTCATAATAGTCTCTTGTATTTAAAATCTGTTTCCTGGAAATGATTCATGCAAGTCAACTATTAGCTTTGTGGTGACATTTTGCATAAATGTCAGTGACAAGCCAGATGCATCTGCTTTGTTTGGCAGTAAAGGTATTCTGCCAGTGTTCACAGGGAACAGGAAGCATTACCAGTTTTTATAAAATCCATGTTTAACTGTTTCTCCAACCACTAAGCGAAGACAACACAGTGTTTTCCAATGTACATTCAGGTTATGGCCAAGAAATTTGACACATGCACCAATGAGGTGAAAAGTCAACCCTCCATTCAGTTTTCCAAATATAAGGCAGAATTTTACCGAGCAAGATGGAGAACAGCTTCTACTATATTCGAACCATCTTTGGCACTTGTTTCACAGAATAACGCCCCGTGGGTCTGGAGAAAAGAAATATACACAATTAAATGAAATCTTTATTTAAGTTTCTTGGAATTTTAGCTTTTAAAATCAATCAATAAAATAAAAATATTTTCCTGTTGAGTATGCTAAGAGTGACTACCAGCTAAGAAATTGGATTCAGCGTTTCAACACTTAAAAACAAAGACAAGCTTGACCCTAGTTATTCCAGGAACAGTTTCTAGTCAGAAGATTTTTACTTTGCACTAAAAAAAAAAGCACAATACAAAATTTCACGTTTTAAGGTTCTTATTTCCAACAGTGCTACCAAATGTTCTCTATCAGATAATTTGAGAGAGATAAAAATGACAGCTTTAGGTAACCCCTCATGAATTAAATGTTCATCAAAAGTACATCTCCTTTTGGCCAGCAGCTGACATGCGTCCCCTTCACACTATCATCTCTTCCTATACGATTCAGCAGCCTGCCTGTTGCTAAAGACAGTGGACATTTTCTAGTCCTCTATTATCCAGCCTCCCCGTGGATACGGACATGATCATTGATCATATCACTCTCCTGCTTCAAATCCTTCAATGCTTCCCATTCCTCTTCAAGTAATGTTCAAACGCTTCACCATGGCTGAGAAGGCCTAGCTTGTATATGGCCCCCGCCAACCTCCCAGCTTTATGTGCCACCACTCTCCCTCCCTCACAATGCTCCAGTTAACAGGAGTTTTCCTCTATTTCTCCAATGCTCCAAACTCCCTCCCACCTCAAGACCTTTGCACCTGCTGTTCCCATTACCTAGGTTATCCCCTACCTACATCAACCCCCTTCTGCAGGCTGATTCCTACCAACCTTTTGAATTTTTAGGTAATCTTCCTTTGAAGTTAGCATTAAGTGTTTTCTAACTCTTAAAAGTCACTATTAGGTCTTCCTATTATAAAATTTCATAGCCACCTGTATTTTTCCTACACAGCACTTGCCACAATTGTAATCGATGAAGTTATTTTTATGTATCTTCATCTAACAAACTGGAGACAATTTCCCTTAGGAAAGAGAACTGCATGTGCTGTGGGCCTGGGTGTTGGTTAAGCAGGCCTCTGTGGGACGAGGGGAGGATGTGAGGGCTGCTCTGAGGCAGGGAGAAAGAGAAGAATCAGACAATGGGGAAAGACTCCACAGTGGGACCTTTACCCATGAGCCCCTGAATCTACAGAAAACCTATAAAAATCACAAAATGAATGTATTTCTAGTAGAAATGGGTAGTGCTGTTGCTGAGTTCTACAGACAGGATGCTATAGGGTGAAACAGAGAATGCCTTTGAGGGGCAGGAGGGTACAAGTCATGAGACACATGAGGAAGCTTCAGGAACTCAGAAATCGTGAGGAGTGAATAAAACCGGCAAGGAGCCTGGAATTATGAGATCTCTAAGAGGATGTGCAGGCCAGAGTCCAGCATGTGGATCACATGGGCTTATGTCTGTCTCCCCAGACAATAAATTACATGAGGACAAGGACTGTCTGCTTTGTTCTCTACTCTTCGCTCAACACACAATGCAGTGCTTGTCACATGGTGCATATAGTTAATGTGTTGAATGAATCTCTTGTGTATATCATTGCCTAGTTTTGATGTTTATCATGTTTGGTTCATAGTTCTAAAATGTAAAACAAAAAAGATTTTCCAATTTAAAATAGTGAAATTGAAACTTCTTTTTAAAGTTCACATATGTATATGGTACACAGCAGGCCCTTCACGGTGCTGATGACAGACGACAATGACAGCAACATCAAATCAGACTGTTAGGTATGGACTTCTTATTCGACCCCGGGAACATCTGATTCCTTGTTTGGGTAAGACAGGTCACAAGAGGGCCACGCAGCATTCTGACACAATGACAGTAATGGGAGAATAACTATGGCCCACAATAAAAATCTGGGCAGGAATGAGCTCCATCCTCTACACAAATGCAAAACAAAAATAACTGTAGACTGTTCCAACTAAGCACCAATCTTAGAGAAAAAAACAAGTCTTCTAAGTCTCTTCCACCCAGGTGACACTGTACCATCTTCTGCTCCCTGGCATAGTAACCCACCAGAACCAAAGCCACCTCCTCGAAATAGGACACCCATTCTTTTTCCTTTACCTGGATTCCAGGACTAGAGAAGGATTCCAGGAACCCAGTGAGAGTGAGGAGGAAGACGGGATAATTCTAGCCCCTCTCTGTCAACGCTCCTCACTGGGAGAAAACGATCAGAAGATCACTTTAACTCTGTGAGGGATTTAATCCTTAGTGCGATTACTTATATGCATGGAAGGGCGAGGGCCCGCTGGGAGTTCTGCCTGGATAAGAAGAGAAGCCCATCAAACAGCAAAGGCAGACAAAAGGGAGAAGCCACTGACTCCGAGGGGGTCAACAACTAGGGTCTATCCCAGTTGGAGCCACTCTCACTCTTACCATCGCCAGTTTTTCTCCACAGTATCCTGGGACACATTTTTGTCCCTCTGCAGCAGCAGTGTCACGAAGATCAGCCTTGTTTCCTACCAACATGATAGGAATAGGATCATGGGTTGCATCCTACCACAAAGAAAAGAAAAGAAATTGTGCATGCATCAAACATGGACAAGTTACGACGACGAGAGCAGCAGCTCCCATTTTCCAAATGCGTCTTAGGTGCCACATGGTGCATAGATAATATCTTTGAACTTCAGTCTCTAAAAAGAACCCAACTTTTTCCCGTCAATAGGTGAGAAAACTGAAGTTCAGAGACAGTAAATGAAAACTTGTGAGGCCCAGGGCCAGGGTCTAACTGACTCCATGAGCCTTCCCACCATACAAACCAGCATAAACTCTGGAAGCAGGAGCACAGAAGTGCCTTTGGCTATGGTGCCACGTCATTTTCTACAACTTTCACCCCAAACAGCGTGATTACAAGCCAACTTTGTGATCCCAGAAACAAAACACACAAGAATCCCTCAGCTATAAGGGGTCAAAAACGGAGTTCGAAAGTTCCACACTCAATGCTACCTGCTCTACCTCAAAAGCAAAATATGAAGATCCTAAAGGCCGACACGGTTCTTATGAGGAGTCAATTAGCAAGCATCCAAAGTAACAGATTCTGAAGACAATGCTCCCAAATCAGCATATGCAAACTGTCACACTGTCGCAGGATGCACAGTGCAGCTAGCGATGGACCGTGAGATGGGAGAGGCAGAGCGGAGTGAGAGACCTGCCCCTCCACCACCTGGCCACCCTGGGGCTGCGTGAAACCAGGGAAGTCTCCATGTCTCTGCCTCAATTTCCCTATCTGTAAAATGAAGGGCGTAGTAAGCGCATATCCCCCCTCAGCAGGCTACGATGAGAACCAAAGAAGATAACCTGACTCTCACAGAAAATCAGGTTTCTGGTTCCTACACGACAGAAGCAGCAGCCCCGATGAAGACATGGGGAGAGTCCTCTTTGCCGCACCTGAAGAGAGCCAGGTGCTCATTCAGTCTGCTGCTACGCCTGACACAGGCTCAAGAAATGAGCCTTAAAAATAAGGAGATCAGGGGCCGGCCCGGTGGCGCAGTGGTTAAGTTCACACGTTCCGCTTCGCGGCCCAGGGTTTGCCAGCTCGGATCCCGGGTGCGGACATGGCACCGCTTGGCAAGCCATACTGTGGTAGCCATCCCACATAGAAAGTAGAGGAAGATGGGCACGGATGTTAGCTCAGGGCCAGTCTTCCTCAGCAAAAAGAGGAGGATTGGCAGCAGTTAGCTCAGGGCTAATCTTCCTCAAAAAAAGAAAAAAAAAATAACGAGATCATATTTGACCTCCTTTCTTTTCAGAGAAAGGCACCAGAGTGTAGTAAAAGCAGAGTGGAGAAGGGAATGAAAGGCCCTCCCAAAACTAGACATCTCAACCATTAATGGGTTAATTCCTTGTGTTCTTTGGCAAACTGCTCAGGAGCCGAGGGGGCATCATGTGAGAGCCATTAATCAAATATTCACTTAAGGACGTCAAGCATCTGAGCATCTAAATGGCTTCCCAAAGTCATACGGGTAAACACCGGCATCTCCTTCAAGTCTTGGCTCCCATGTCACCTTCCAGCGACCACACTTCCTGCAGCCCACTGCCTCAGCACAAGGCCCTGTACCCTGCCCTCTTCTTCTTTCTATCACATTTATCACTTTCTACCATTCTATGTACCTATTTTATGTTTGTTGCTTGGTATGTCTCCTCCACGAGAGTACAAGCTGCATAAGGATAGGGCTCTTTGTTTTATTAACAGATATACTGCAAGCTCTAGAACCATCCAAGCACAGAGTAGGTATCCCAAAATATTTCTCAGGTGTAAAAGTGAGGAAAAGATCTCACATCTCAAGTGTTTCCATTCAACTTTTACCCAAATAATCAATAAACTATTCATGACAGGTAAGTAAATGGCCATAATCTTATTTTATCCACAATTTTATTACGAGATTCTGAAACCCAGTGGTCTTCAATTGAAGTGTACTGATTATTAATGCACCAAAGACATACTACTGCTTCTCAATCCTCTGGCCTATCCCAACGATCACACCATTAGCTTCTACCCTACTTATGTGGCCACATAAATTGTCCCTATGGAATTTCCTCAAGTTAGAAAGAGTGAACCATGGCAAAGGTTCATCATGCCCATTTTTTTCAAAGAAAGTGAAAGTCAAATGCCAAGTGGTATTTAATTTTTTCTCCATAACAAATTCAATAATTCATCATTTTTTTCTTTTTTTTTAATTTATTTTTTGGTGAGGAAGATTGCCCTGAGCTAACATCTATTGCCAATCTTCCTCCCTTTTTTATTCTTTTCTTTTTTTTCTCTCCTCAAAACCCCAGGACACAGTTGTATACCCTAGTTCTAAGTCATTCTAGTTTTTCTATGTGGGACGCTTCCACAGCACCGCCTGATGAGCTGTGTGTAGGTCCGCACCCAGGATATGAACCAGCAAACCCCAGGCAACCAAAGTGGAGCACGCGAACTTAACCACTCGGCCCCGGGCTCAGGCCCAAGAATTCACCTTGAAGAGTTTTCTTCCTTTTCACACCTGATGAAAGGTGATATGAATAGCTGAAAAGGTCATTTACCATATGCAGGTGTTTAGCAAAGTATTACAATGGGGCTCCTGACACATGCCACGGCTGGGCACTAAGGGCTGTTTCACAGCTCATATGGCTGAGCACAGTATGCCTCCTTTTCTTGAGCATAATCCAAAACCTGAATCTGAAGACTAAGCCCAATGGTTTCAACAGTAACAAGTTTTGCCATAGATTTTCACTATCTGTGTGTCTAAGCTAGTTGAGATCATCCATTATCCTCTGAACTCACTGCTCTCTCCCCCCAGGGAGGTCCACATGTCCCCTTGAGTAGACGTCTCTCTTCTATGCACTAACTCTACCTTGGGAATGATTTCTTACATCAAAAGCCTTTTTTCTTAATCTGCTGCTCACTCTGGTGCTTTATCAAAGAAGCAACCAGTGTTGAACGAGGAGGCCCAACTCCCCCTTCCACCTCTAACCTCTAAATAACTACAAACCAGAGCCACACTTTCTATGCCTCAGGTTTCCCATAAAAAGTGAGAATGACATTACATTTCTTATTTCCTTTCTCATATGTTACAAAGATGAATATAACGTGGAAAATTCTATGAAATAAAAATATTACATAAATGTCAACACACTTTCATTGTATTTATAATAATTTTAAGCCATGATATTTCAATTGAACAAAAGGCACATTTATTTCTCATTGCCTAAGTCATATAGCCAATTGCAATCAGTCATTTCTTATATCACTTCTTTAGTTAGAAACAGAACATTAATTCTGTTTTTTTTACAGGGTATAAAATAGGCCCAATTGAAGAAGTTAGAGGCTAACTTGAAATTAGACAGCAATTTGTTCTCTGCACTTAATGCCTATTAAAAATGAAAGATAACAGAATTACCTGAAAAATTGTATTAGTCATTAGTTTTGTTTTGTTTTCCAAGAGAGTATGCTGAACTATAGCTTGAAGTGTCGTTTTATGTCGATTAATATCTGTTGGTAGCATACTACCTGTGGTCAAAATCATTTCCTACTTTTAAAAATTATTTACCATGAAACTGAAGGATATGAAAGCTGCTCAGAAGAAAGACACCACCTCATTTAACCAGAAGAAGGCACCGATGTTACCACACGCTCAAAATACCAACTGGGATCTCAGTGGTATCTTGGGGTGTGTGAACACCCAAACCACTTCCAGAATAAAGTTGAGAACACAGTTGCTATAGAATTTGAGCCTGGCACCTGCTCACACCAGGTGCTCTTTCACCTGTGCTTCTAGTACACCTTCTGGAAGCCCGTACACGCATCCCACCGCACTACACACCCAGTCACACCGCCCCTCGTCTGTAAGAGCTGCTGCTTCTCAGGTTACCTGCATTTTCACTTGCTTTCAACGGGGCTCAGATTTTACCTGTAAGAAAACCCAGAAGTTTTATCCCCAGAAGCTCCTGTTAGCAGCGCCCCTGGCCCTGAGGGAACCTGCTCAGCTACTGCGGAAAAAACCAATAGTGCCAAGTGCCGTCGGGAACTCTGCCTCTGACAGCCAGTTCTTCCTGAGAGCTTGGATCCACGGCTCCAACCTTGCTCCCTTCCACAAAGAAGAGAAAGGGCATTTTCCAAGTGGGCATATAACTCCCCTGTGTAATTCTGTGTCTCTTACCTCAATCATATCCACCCATTCTCGTACATTAAGAAAGCTTTTCTCACACGTAACATCGTACAGCAGCAAAACACCATCTGCTCTTCTGAAGTAAGACTTGGCAATACTTCTGAATCTGCAAAAGAGAAAGGCACGTAAGCGACGGTCTCGTCAGTCAGTCTCTAGTGCTGCCTCATTCTTCATGTCTTTTATGCTCGCTTTTTCTCACCCTCTAAAATAGGCCCTGAGTGCGAAGACTCTAATGGCAACATCTTAGTGTAAAGATGGGTCGTTCTAGGCTGACCCAGTCAAAGCTAAGAGGATGAGAATCTGGGCTACTGATTTGGAAAAGCCAATCATTTTCTCCACCAAACAATCCCAAGAAAGTCTACAAACCTCAAAGCATAACCAGGACTAGGTTGAGAGAATAATTCCTAAAAACTTCAGCCTCAGCAACAAGCTACCAGAACTCGCATGTGGGACACAGAGAAGGATGGAAGAAGATGCACATTAGAGAAAAATTATTGTGGGGGTGGTGGGTAGGGAGTATTATGGGGCGGGTGGAAGAACTAACAATGTAAAACACCACAACGTGCCAGGAACTGTACATACACGGAGCTGTGGGGGGTTCGCTGGGGAAAGAGCAGAGCTCAACACGCATGTCCTAATGCTAAACCAAGTGCTATAGGTGACAGTATCTTAAATAGGGCCATTGCCAATCACAAATACTTTTTAAATGGTGAAACTCCCAGTCTGCTGGAGAATGTAAGCTCCCTGTGGGGAGGTATTTGTGTCTGTCCACTGTGGAATCTTAGCCCCCTGACTGGCATCTGGCACAGAAGTAGGCTGGCATCCCAAGCTTATTTGTTGAACATTGGGTAGATTCGGTTCCCAAAGAGTTAGATAAGATTAAAACTTATGCTTAATGCTTCTGGTCATTGGCAATGAATGCAAGATAAGGTACTGTCACCAGATGCGAGTCTGCTGTCTAGTCTGTGCCTCTGCCCTCGTACCCAAGGGAGCTGACAGGCTGTCTTCTCCATCCTTTATGGCACCCCAGCTAAGCAGCTCCTCACACTGCCACTGCACTCAGGAGTGTGGCCTCATCTAAACTCGCTTGTTAGGAAGCAAGTTTTTCCCAGCTGAACATCAGTTCACAGGAAGCTTAAAGATCCTCTTCTTGCACAACTGATAGATAAGTGAAGGAGGAAAGGATGTGGCAACAAGTGAGCATTCTTGAAATTCTATTATATAATATATAGGATATTATATAATTAAATTCTAATATACTATATGCGAATAAAAACCCCAAGTGTCCTCCAGGGCGTGTCTGTGCAAACCGAAGCAGAGCGCGAAGCATTAGGAAAAGCACTTGCCTCTCCTGACCGGCCGTATCCCAGAGCTGCAGGACTGTTCGCTCTCCGTCTACAATGAGGGTTTTCATTTGAAAATCGACTCCTGAAAAGGAACATAAGAGAACGTAGAGAACATAATGTAAGTAGCTCCATCGGTTTTTAGTCTCAAGCCCTCTTAGATGACACAAAAGCCAGTAAGCCAAAGCTCAGCAAGGTAGAGAGGAAGGAACATGGCCTTCACGGAGAGGGACCGGCATGTACTGGTTACAAGTCAGACCACACGCGTGCACACAGATGCACCGTCTGCAGGTCGGCTGACTTGGGGAAGGACTTAATCCACGCACAAAAGCAAAATCAACGTTCTATCTGCCCAGGTAATTAGATAAACTCGGTTATATCTGTGTGTGTGTGTCCATGTGCACGCGTGCACGGAAATATGTATATGTGTCTGTGCATGTGTATATGTATCTGTATGCGTATATGCCACATTCTGTAGCAAGTGAACCAAATACCGTAGTCTTTTTTTTGAATCAACCTGAAGGTAACTTTCAACTTGGTTATCTTGAAGGATCTAACAGAGAACCATAAATTTACAAAGACACCCATTGTGAAGAGGGTAATCAATCCGCTCTAACATTTCTGGTTATCCAAATAAGAACTCTTTAGATGAAGAAGAAAAATAAATAATAATTTGCATATCTTCAACTCTTTTTACTGATTATTATGCAAATTTGGGAAATCAAGACACTACCTCTTTCCTTGTTCTGAGAGAGGTATGTGAAGTCGGAAGGGAGCATATAGCTGCCTTTGATTTTGACCATAATGACAAACTGGCCATTAGTAATGTCACTTTAGCAGCATCAAATGACACCTGATCAGAAAGGCTTTCCCTAGCCACCCAGCATAAACTGCTCCTCTCCCCAAACCCCATGCCCCATCTTTTTTTGTTTTCTCACCCATTTCCCTCCTCTGGGATGTAAGCTCCTTGGGAGCTGGGATTTCATCGGCTTTGTTCATTGTGTCTCCTTAGTGCCTATACCAGTATCTGGCTCACAGGAGGACTCGGGACCGTTTGCTGAATAAATCAATCTGTCACCTCAGGCTCTAAACTTGGTTTGGTTGATCTCACTGCCCTAGGAGATACCTCTGTCCTTGGCCAGTCTTCCTTTCCCAGAGTCGGGCCTTAGCCAAAATAGAGGAGGACTATTCTATAGACAAGGACACACACACACAGAAACACACATATCTATATATATGTATGTGCACAGAGAAAGAGAAAGAGAGACCTGTATAAATAATCCTTAAAGAAAATAAAATCAAGCTAAAGAAAGTCATCCTCCCATTATCTAGTGAAAACAGAATCATACCTAGGGTGGCACTTGTATTTCCTCGAAATTCATTCTTGCAAAGTCTCATGAGGAAACTGGACTTCCCCACTGCGGCATCCCCAGCAAGCACGATCTTGTAAGCCTTCTGTGAGCTGGAAGATTTATAGTTATCATCCACCACGTCTGTCTAGGGGGAAAAAGCCACAGTGGGTGACAAAGGTAGTGACGGTTTTCTTTCTAATGAGTTATACGGCTCAAAACTTAAAAGTGTTCATAAACAAAAGTGTCTCAGAAACCACCCACCTGCAGTGCAAGTGCAGGGATGGGCTTTCTTGATGAACCAACAGTGCTGCCCTCACTCACTGACCCCTGGGGGTTCCAGTCTAGGACGGAAGCCACACCTTCTGAGCCATATGTCTCTTCATCCCTTATCTCAGGAACCTGGTTTTTCAAAAAAGTCAGCCATTAAAAAACAAAGTCTCTCATTACACATGTACATGATCCATTAAAGAGAGGAAAAACATGCAGCTGAATCGACATATGGGCAATGCTGTTATGGAATAGAGTGCCCTCAAAATGGCAATCTAGGAGAACTTCTCCCTAACTTGGTGGGGCAAAAAACATTCTACTGACTACACTTCATACTCACAACCTGTCAAACACATCCCCGTGACAGGTAAAAGTCAAACAGGTTGACAGATTTCTGTCAAAGAAAAGGCCTGGGAGAGCAGTGACTTCGGGGGCTTACGTCTGTGTCTGAAGCATCACCCCCGAGGCTCTCCTGCGTGCCGTGCGACCTCTGAAACCCCCTCTGGTGCTTGCATTCCACCTCCGAGTCATACTCATTGGAATCTCTCAGGGTAGACAAGCCACTGTCAAAGCAGCTCTCGGGCAGGCTGTCAACTTCACAGTTCATCCTCTGCATAGGATCGCAGAGGGCCAATGAGTCACAGTCCTCGTCCACGAAGGAAGAGCGGGGTGACCTGGTGATAAAGGAGAAGGCTGCTCTACCTGAGGGCTCACGATGCTCAAGACCACACAGGCAACAGTCGGACAGCAATGCAATCGAGAAGACCAACATTCTCATTTTCGCCAAGAGCCACAACATACCTCAGTTAAGCATCAAGGGAAATAAGATGTTCAAAGCAGTATCAGTTCATTCTATGCAACAGTCAATTAAGATAAAGATACTCAAATCAAACATTTAATAAACGAAGCTATTTTTAAAATTATCTTCTTTATTATCTGATACAAAAGAGAGTACCTAGGATTTAAATGCATTCTCAAGTTGCATTAAGAAAAATGTGTGTAGAACATGTGAACTTTTTTACTCTAATGGGATCAGACCATATTCTGAACAGTTTGTTCATTTCTGGATAACATCTCTACTTAAAAGGGATGCTGAGAATCTGGATGGGAAAGGCAACTACGATGACGTGAGACTCAAAACCCTCAGATGTGAGCAATGGTTCAATGTACTCAGCTTGAGTCTTGACGGTTTCTCTCTGCAAATACCCATAGAGCTGACAGACGAAGAAGCAGCATACATTCTCTCAGGTTGCACAAGACAAAATAAAGGCAACTGATAAACTTTTCTGGGAGTCACATTTCTAATCAATGTGGTGAAAATGATAGGCAATTAGAAATGTGTGGTATTGGAATGGTTTGACATATGAGATTAGATTTCTGCCACTAAGTGTTGACACACAGTCTGAAAAGACTCCTATAGGAGAGATTCCATAGGAAGGTGCCTCAGATAAAGGCTAGAACTCCTGACTTCTACTGACTTCTATGGATCTTTCCATTTGTGAAAGTAACATTTTATAAGTGAGGGAGAAATTAACAGTAAACAGGAGAATCAAAAGAAACCACATATCTTCCCTATTCACTTTTGCTTTTCCATTTGATTTTCATAAGAATCTAAGTTTATACTGAAATAAAAACAGGGGCTGCAACTTATTTAGTTCCCACTACAAACTGGGCACCATCCTAGCCACTTGGCACCCATGTTCTCATCTGAAAGGGGGAATGGGTAGGGCTCACAGGTCTCCAGATACAAGAAATAAGAGATAGATATGCTTAGAAAAGGCAGGGTGATCAATATAGATACAAGAATAAGCCATACAAATCTGAGAAGTCAAAAATATTTTGGTGCCATTAACAAATGTTTAAAATTAATTAAAAAGGTAATTTAACACTAAACTCTCTCTAAATATGTTGCTCAATTATAAAGTCTTGATCCTGGGGCAGGAATTTCATACTATACCCGAATCTACCTAGCTGGCTGTGTGTGTGTGTGTACACTTTTTTGTCTGTTTCATCATTTATGAAACTCTCCTTCTGCAACTGATTTTAGGTCTATCTGTAAGAACCTAAGGAAACTATTCTCATTACAATATACTACAAAGTACTTCAGCTCCAGATCATTATTGGTCAGAACTTTATTATTTTTAACCTATTTGTATTTTGATAAGGAGTAAGGAGAAGTGGAATCCTGAATTGAAAAATCACCTCCAAGAATATCCAGACTCTACATTAAAAATATAGGTACAGATCAGACTTTCTCAAACTCCACTTGGATACATACCGTTTTAAAACGAAACTATTCTTATTTGCCCAAAGAATACTTCATTACAATTTATATGTAAAAATATAAAACAAGTTATACTTTTGTTAGAAACCTTATAAAAACCACAAATCCAAAACAAATACACAAGTTAAAATCCAATAAGGCCACAAAAGTCATAAAACTACATTTCCCACATGCTTTTAAGTTCTTATACTAGCATGAGAAAGAAAATAAAAGGTTAACTTCTTACATCAAACTAATGACACCCCAAAAAGTAACATCAGGCAGCCCACAGCGGCGCTCTGGTTACAGTTCAAGGCGATGAGCACATGAGGCCTCCGATCCTGTCTCTCTGAGCCGCTGGGATGTGAGGACTTTGTCTCTTTGAACCTACTGCTGAGCAGCAATTAGTCCAGGATTTACAAGCCTTATTCATGGCATCTTCTCATCATCGTGAAATTTCTGAAACAATTTTCAGTTATGTATCTCTCCCCCTATTTCCTTAGAATTGATCTTAAATATCAGTCCAGAGAAATGGCACCACACCACACATTTTTAACAAGTAATCTCTATTTCTCAATAACAGAGCAGCCGGCTGCCTATGAATCAATAAGCCATTAAAATTTTTTATTTTACAAATCAGGGAACAATAAAAACATCTGATACCTGAATAGAATTTTCTTAAAAGTGATCACCAAGAAGCCTGGGTTAACAGACCTTCCTGAGAGGAACCCCGACCATTTTGCTGTCGCCAGGATATTCAGTACATTATTCCTTAGACCAAAGTTCCCAGATGAGAAGGGAATGAACTCGGATTAGAAAGTTGCATCAGAAGCGGAGAGCTGGAAATGTATGGTTTATGCCTTCACTTCTACTTTCAAACTCTGACATACTCGACAATTACCTTGTTAAGTAGCAACACTGGTCATATGTGTATGTACACACACGCATGCACACAAGTGATCTTTACCTTTTACTGACAGCTCTCAAGTTGCAGCAGGGCCAATATTTCATTTCATTTCATTAAAAATAAAGCTAAATTCTCACTTCTGGTAAGCCTCTCTGACTCCTTCAATACAGTAGCTCACAAATATCTACTAGCCATACTTCTATTTGTTCTGGAAGTTTCCTTTTCCTTGAACATAGCTTACATATTATGCTGAGTTATTAAACATTTACGGATGATGTCAAGAGTCTCAACGTCATATACCACATGTACCACAACATCCTAGACCGCGGTTCCACTGTTCTCCTGAGACACTTTTGACTGAGGCCACTTCTAAGAAACAAGACGTGAGTAGGGATGAGGTAAGGGTGAGTTCACATAAAGGGTGAGTTCACCAAGTCATGACAGCATCTTCATGGAATCATGCTGCCCTCTCTGAAACATTTTTACTTTTAATTTTTACATGTTTCATGTTTCAGAAATTTAAAATAAGATAGTAGAAAATAAAAATTAATGCCCAAAATATATTCTATTATTTTAATTCACCTTAAAGGAAATTTACTTTTCTTTTAACTTTGATCTAGAATTGAAACAAAAAGTTAAGTAGGTGTGAACATACCTGTCATAGCCCAGAGGCTGAGGAGAATGACGGTTAAATTTGGGACTGCTTCTGGAAAGCGTATTCCCTGGTGATATATTATTTATGCGCTGTAATACATAAGTAACCTTTTGTTATTTCATGTAAACATTATATATATATATACTTTAACTGTAGCACAGTATTTAATTTCTAATGTAATTAAAAGATTGGGATCCTACAAGAGCAAATGTGAGCATGAAAATCAAGAGGAAAATTGCAACAAGACAACTGCCCAGAGTACTCTCTCTTCATCGTATTTCAAGTCCACACATAGTATTTCAGTCTACTGCTTGAGCCACGAAGGGCCGTTAGGAGCACCCTGGTTCCCCAGTCGTGCCAGGACTCTGCAATACCAACTACTTTGGATTGCTCTCTCCTCGAACCAGGACTTGACTTCGTGACTGACTCGTCCATACCAAAGCTACAGTGCTGGAACCCCACATGTGAAGCTGACCCCCAAAAGTCGGAGGAGAGCCTTTCAGGCGCACGCCGCCTGGGGAGGTCCTCAAAACTCCAAATGGGACATAGCCTTTTCTACGTTTCTGTAGAGGGTTTAAAATCCAAGGCCTGGGGCCAGCCCAGTGGTGCAGTGGTTAAGTTCACACATTCTGCTTCAGAGACCAGGGGATCACCAGTTCGGATCCTGGGTGCGGACATGGCACCGCTTGGCAAGTCATGCTGGGGTAGGCGTCCCACATATAAAGTAGAGGAAGATGGGCACGGATGTGAGCTCAGGGCCAGTCTTCCTCAGCAAAAAGAGGAAGATTAGCAGCAGATGTTAGCTCAGAGCTAATCTTCCTCCAAAGAAAAAAAAAAAAAAACCAAGGCCTCCTCTCTGATAATCTATCAGGAAGAATACTCAGTGTGTCTAAACACACTCCTCAGCCAGAAGCACCCCCGCCTCCCCACCGGGCGGTATTTTATTTGTGCCTCCACAGGATTTCCCACTTTTCCTTATGTGATTGCTGTCCGTGCACATCCTGACTCCCTACTACCTTATAAACTCTCTGATGTGACATGGGTCACATCTGACGCATCTTTCTCTGGTTTCCTAGAACAACTAACAAAAGAGCTGGCTAACATCGAGGCATTTATTTCTACAGAGAAGTAACATTTTTTAATTTGGGAAAATGCTCCTCCTTTTATATCATATGGAAGAGCTTCTTCTTATTAGAAGGCTCTACACGAAGCTCTCCTCTAAGAAAATGCAAGATTGTCATCACAACACTCTACCACAGGAGAGGACAGGATGGGTCATGGAATTCGGCTGCATACCAAGGACCTGTTGAACTTGCTGTAACTGTTTTCGAGGGCACTCCTCAGGCCGTCGTTACTGTCATGCAGCTTCCTGTTGGCTTTTCTACAGAGGAAATAAGGGAAACAAATGAACAGACGAGGAGGGTATCCTGGGGATAAATGTCACCACCTTCTTTCCAGGCTGTGACGTTCCGAACCTGGAATTACCGCCTCTTGCAACTTTCTACCACCTCTCTTCAAACCCATAAACTGAGCTCATAACTTATTACTAGGATTACAGCCTATGTGATGGATCACCTCTCTCTAAAGCTCTCAGGCATCTTTGGAAGGAACGCGCTGTGCTGTGGAACCCCCTGCTCGATTGGGGAGCTCCATCGTTTGAATGGGTTTGCTGCAGGTCTCTGCTCCCTTAATGCCCAACCTGGCCTGCCTCAGGGCTGCTCTCTCCCCTGCACGCATCCTAGCCAGGCGTGGGTGTGACGTGTTATACATCATGTTTCTCCTGGCTACTCCCGCATCCTACTCATGGCCTGGTGCTGTCCCACCAGGCACTGTCCTCTACCAGTTAAAGGCTCTGATGTTGATTCTGAGTTCAAATCCCAACTCAGGCACATACTTTCCCTACGACTTACAGAAGTCACTTAACCTGTCGGAGCCTCAGCAACCTCACCTACAAATGAGGATAACAACAGAGCCTCTGCCTCAGAGAGGGGCTAATCTTTCCCTACTGAAGGCTTATTCACCCTCCACATCTCAGCTCAATCACTGCTCCCACGGGGAACCTTCCTGGACTTCTGGTGAGGCGGAACTCTCTGCTGTGTGCCCTCAGGGTACATGTCCCTTCCCTGAGTCCCACCTCTCTTCCTTGGCATTTTATGTTTATTTCTGTAATTATTGATCCGTTTCCATCTTCTTCCCCTAGACTAGCCACATAAGGAGAAAGACTTTTTCCTCCTACTTTCCACTCTATCCTGAGCTCCCGGCATACCTGACCGATAAAATCTGCTGAATGAATAAATGAATGAATGAATAAATAGGATTACAGTATTCTGTCAATTCTATAATTGCCACAGGTGAGAGACTCAACAAGCATCCAAAAATGGTGAAAAAAATTTGTCAAGCCTGACCTTACTCCATTTAGGAGAACTGAAGCCAGAAGAAAATACTGCACAGGCAGGAAAGAGAGAAAGGGCAGGGCAGGGCAGGTTTCCTGGGGAGGGCCCTCAGAGGCTGGAGTTACTGCAACTCGGTTCTGAAGCTGACAGAGCAGGTGTAATAGTTCCAATAGGGTTCAAAAAAAAAAAAAACCCTAAGGAAAACATACTTCTAACCAAGCATGATAAATTGCGAAAGAATGACAGCTCATGCCCGGTGCTCTGACACACGACCGTGGGACACCTGACAAGCTCTCCATGTGTTGAGCTGCAGAGAAAGCCGTTGAGGTCAAGGCTGTTATTCTTTACAGAGTTACAGTAAAGACACGCTGGGCACATCACCCGACTTGCGAGGACTTTTAGAGAATTACACTCTACTCCCTGGATCTGAACAGTTTATTTAGGATTAGAAGCGTCAGAAAGCTAAGTGGATGTGCTGAATGCACCACAGCGAGAGGAAACACGCATGGACCTGCGACGCCGTCTTCAGAATACTGCACCTCGTGTTATACGTGGCACGTGCTTTATTAACAAAGAATAAGTAGAATGTAAATGTAATGAGGATATTATATGAGAACTTACTGGAGCATTTCAATTTGCCTCTCCAGACTGTTTCGATCTTCTGTGTACTCTCGGATTATTTCCAGATCCCTGTAAAATTACATTTTATGTATGAACGAGAATTAGGTGTTCAGTGCTCCTTACCTATACCTACCCCCTTGTTCACCTTTGTCAAAGACGTGTGTCCTTGAGCAGGGTTATCTATCTCGCCGTGCTCCTGCTCGGCTCCCGTGCCTTCAGCAGCCTCCCCTCCTCCGGCCCCTCCATGAGCACAGCCACCTGCTCCACTGCCTTGTGCAACGTTCTGCTCTACCTCACCCCGCGCAGCCCCCAACTGTTCTTCCAGCCCACCCCACTGACCTGGCTCTGTTCCTCCTGAGAATGACCCTGACCTTTTGCCAAGCCTCCTCCCCCCAGGCACTCTCACCTCTGACTCTTCTCTGCTCATTCTAAGACTTATACAATCCCAGCCCCGGCCATTTTCTCCCGTCCTGCGGTTCTTTCTCCTCTCCTTGGCCCTCCTCTCCTCACCCTAAACCACAGAGGAATCCACGCACCAGGCTTTCTTGATTTGCTATAAACTCACACTCGGCGATTGCTCTGTTGCTTTATTACAAAGCCCTGGCCTCCTCCTCACGATGTCCACTCAGAGAATTAGCCGCTCACCTCCAGCCCCTACACCACCCTGGCCCCATTTAAGCAGACAAGCCCCATCACTAGCTTCCAAAAACTCTCAACTATCAAGTTCTGTCCACCAGAACCTGTCCATTCAATCTCTGCATGATAAAGCTAAAAGTTTCCCAATTGTCTAGAGGAGCTTAAATCCCTCAGCCAAAAATTCTGGGCCCTTAGATCATAGCCTTAAAGTAGCTTTTAAACTTTTTAATTTTTCTTTTAACTTTTGCCTTTCCATTCAAAATATCTTTTTCCGTCTATGATCTGACCACTGTTTCCTAAACAAGTCTTATCTTTCCCTGTGTTCTTACCCCTGCTTTGGTTTCTGCCTCACCTGGAACATCTCTGAGACTCTCTTTTCCTACCTGTGAAATGGGGATAATGAAGTGCCCATCTCATAGGATATTCTGTGGGTTGAGTGCATTAGTATGAGTGAAGTACCAAGGAAGTGCCTGGCAGATGGCAGTGCTCCCTGCACTGCCTGCTGATGGTGCCTCCGCTCCCCTGACCTGCACAACCCACCCCTCCCCCAAGCTCACCTCAAGCGTCTCCTCCTTAGCAAAGTCCTTCACCGCTTCTGAACTAAAGGAACATTTTGCCTACAATCACATGCCAATGCACCTAACCTGTGACATTGCTGGTAGTATTATTTCTGAGACTATTTACTTCTTAAGTGGTTTAACTTCATACCTTTTAGTTTTTTCTTTTCCCAACTAAATCTGAAGTTCTCAAGAGCACAGACCACATCTTTTCTCTTTTATATACTCCACGCTCATAACTCCTTATCTAGCTGAGGGCCCTGCGTACAGTAAGTATTTCATAAACGTTTCATTGCATTCCATTACAAGACCTTAATTCTGATTGAAGTTTGCAAACAAACAAAAAACAAGATATTTTTCCCTAGTGTACATGTACTAGGGGATACACACAAATGCATATATATGCGTTTGATATTTACATGGTCCTATAGAAACATCCATGTATATATCCCTTATGTAGGACTACATGCCTCTGTGTGCATGTGTGTTAGGTCTTATGTTACTAACACGTTACTGCAAGACTAAAGCATAGCAAAGTAAACTGACTTGCCTAAGATGTCTACTGCTCCCTTCTCTTATGTTGTGTGGCCTGGGTTCCTACCTTCAAAGCACTTTAATTAGCACTGACTCTTGACACTTTAGGTATATCCTTCTGGTCCCAGTTAATTCAAACATTTATTAAGCCCTGCACTGTCCTACACAGCCAATAATCAAATTAATTAATCTGTTTAAGAAAATTAAAAACGCAAAAATCACTAGGAAATCTGACATTGAAAGTAAAATCTTTAGAAAGCAAAGAACCTAGGAGCAAAGATAATAACTAACCCTTTATTATTATCTGGCTGAGCTTCAGTCACGTGGATGGTCATCTAAGTAAACATTCCACTCAAACTAAAAACCAAAATGTGAAGTTTCATACCTTTCAGAATTCAGACTCTGATCAGCATAATCACTTTTCAAAGCATCTAATTCACTCTGAAGAAAGGCTATGCTTGTCTGTGCTTCTAAAAGATCTTTCTTAACTCTCTGATTCTCCTAGAGAAAAGGAACAGGGCAGGTCGTTAGATTCAGAGTTTCCTCCATCCGGGAGAAGTGAAGTTCAGTGGCGTGTCACCGTCCCACACAACACCCTCACCCTCCACAGTCTTCGAATCTTGGTTCAAAGGACTAATTATCAATTCAAGGTAATTTGAAATTATTATAAAGTATTGAAGTGTCAAAAATCTAAATTGTCAAAGTTTTTTTTTTAACAATTGACATTTGATACCAAACTATAATAGTCAAGAGTTCATCATGATGTACCTTTAACATATTATTGTCAAATTAACTGAGACCAAGCATTTCAATGTTTTACTGAATGCGAGCCATGAAACTACTGAGAAATAATCTGTGGAATTCATAGTACCTATTACCAGGTAGACGGGCTACTTTTTACAACAAATCCTATCACCTAACATTTTTAAGTTCTACACTTAAAAGTAAACCAGTGTGGTTAGGAAATTTCTATCCTTTTCTTAAAAAAAAAGAAAGAAAACTCATTGGAGGCTTCTGGTTCAAGATGGTGGACTGAGTGCATGAATTTGTCTTCTTTCTCTTTTGAGGCCCCATTAACATGAAATGTCAAAGAAAAGAAACCAATAAAAGTTAAAAGAATGGAAGAAGGGCCCATCAGCAGTCCAGTGACTTGAATACATTTCTGAAAAATGGAAAGTGGATGACACTGTGCTCACAAAGGGAAGAGTAAGAGAAAGGCTGGTCCAGAAGATGCGTGTGGGAGGGTCTGCTGTAGAACAAGGGAAGAGGCAACTGACCGGGCACAGCCCTGGAGAGCGAGAATGAGAAGGGGGGCTGAACACAGAGATTAGATTTGAGTATTAAGCCACCCCCCGACTGGAGTCCAGCCCCTCTCTTGCCCTAGCAAAGAACAGTGGAGAGCCAGAGTTTATTCCAAAGGCAACAAGACAGGGCTTGTCTCTTTACAAAGAACTGAATGAGTCCTGGAAGGAAAACGAAAGCTTCCCTCTGAAGACGCAGGCCCCACACATGCTGGTCCCACAATCTGACAGCCAGCTTCACACGAAGCTCCTAGGGAGACTCTCTTTCAGGGGAGAGGCCTCGAAGTGAACAGATCAACTGATCTAGCCGCAAAGGAATCCTACACCAGTGACATAAAATGACCAGAAATTCCCAGATGACATACAGGTAGCAAGATTAAATAACAAGCAGTCCAATAAGAACTGAAATGTCGACTCCAAAATCAATATTTTCAAAGAGAAAAAAGTTCATGCTTTGGGAAGAAATATAAGTTGTTGTAAAGAATTGGTGATATCATGGGGATGACAGAGTTTCTTTTTACAAGAAACCAGGAAATCCAAGAAAACAAGCAGCTCTATAAAGTCATGATCCACATACAAAAGCAACTAAGATGTGGCGGAATCTGGAACTGGTAGTGCACAAACGGGATTCATCCAACCGTGAAGCTGGGAGCCTTCTCTTCTGAGTAGCACAGGGATAATGACCGGAGAGAAAGAAAGGCAACCCCAGCTCACGCTAGCTCATGCTTGACTCTGCAGTGAGAATGTTTAGAGTCATAAGAAAGGAAATGTTCATTACTGGCTTTCAACTTTTAGAGTCAGGCTGAAAACAAAATAGAGAAAATGACCATCATATAACAGATGTAAGTGTTAACCAATTTTGGCAACAGAAGGACTAAAGATACGGTTGGCAGAAGACGGAAAAGGGAGAGAAAGAGGAAGGTTGGAGGAAGGACAGGGCAATAATACCTCATTTACAAAGCCAGGGATGCAGACCGGAGTTGATGTTATAAGAATGCTGGGTTAACTATTTAAAATCAATATTGCTTTGAATAAAAAATGAAAGAATTCACAATAGGTGAGGTATCATTGAGGGAAAAAGCCTTCGTGAATAATACCTTTGGTCAAAGGTGTTTCAAAGACTTTCTCTAACTCTTTCTCTATGGTATTAACTTCTCTTTAAGCGTCTATTCCTGGACCACGGAAAGAACAGCATGGTTATATGGAGGAAACAGTAGTGCAACAGGAAATATATTTCTGTAAGTGAAAAGGTAATTCTTACCATTGACAAATCATAAATTTGTTTTTTTAATGCAGCCACATCTTCTTTTCGACTTACGTGTTTTGATTGTTCTTCTAGCTGAAAAAGCAAATAAAAGTTGTGCATTTACAAACTCACTTTGAATTGATTTGGTTAAGTTTGGGAATATCCTTGAATATGGATATTGGAATTTTAGAAGTCTTCAATTTCATTAAACGACATATAATCCATAAGGATTTGAAAAGTGGCTTTAAATAATTTAAACATTTGAAAAGGGGGTTTTATTGTTTAATGAATTTTCCTTGAAACAACCAAAAAGTCCTTTTGGGAAACCATTCAATACTTAAGCAACCCAATCTTCACTGATTCAGTTGTGTTGCAAAAAGAGTCTGGACTTTCATATTCACCAAGAACTTTCTCTGAATTTAACACTTTCTATCCTGCGTTATAATTATTTATGAATGTCTCACCTCTCCTCCCAGAGTCAAAGATTTTTGAGAGAAGAGTTAGTGTCAGACGCACCTATGTTTTCTTCAGGGTGATTTCAAAAAATGCTTATCAAATAACTGAAATCAATAAAATTTAAGTATGATATGAAGCTAGAAACTTCATATCTACATACATACATACATACAAAACATACATAAAAAACTACATAAATACACACGTGAGCCTTGCTTGGTGGTTGACTCATTAGTATTTCCAGACTAAATTGTCTCAGGAGCACCCACAACATGGACAACAAAAAATGTCTTTCCTATAAATAACTTACATTCCCTGGGAGTGGTAGGGATTTGTGGGTTTCCATTAATTGAATATTTATGCATTGATCAAAATGTATACTATATTTTATCAATTCTAGTCTAAGTCAAAAATCTAAGTACTTTGACGCTGGACTTTCTTCGTCTTGCCAGATGGCATCAACTGAAGGCTTTCACTCACATAACTACATCCTGACTTCCAACTATGCCATGGCTGTAACTGAGCAGAGCCATTGATTTTAAGATGCACGCCAATTTCAGAGAAGAGCAACTGTGGGAAAAATCAGTTTCTCAGAATCAACAGCATAAGCTAATGGCAATTATAATAAATTTATAAACTTTTCTATAGTTCTTTACAGTCTTTAACATACTCTTACATAAATCATCTCTTATTCCCTTGCAGAACAACCCTATCAAGCAGGCAGAAATCTGGTACAAATGAGAAGGCACCAACCATGTAGTAAGACGATGCATCACTTACTAGCTGTGGGACTTTGAACAAGTTATTTAACCTCTCTGGAACTCAGTGTCCTCATCTGTCAAAGTAGGATATTTACACCGTCCTCAGAGAAAGTTCAAAAATTGGATTTTAAAATTATAAAAAAGAGCTTAATAAACTATAAAGTCAATAAAATATCAGTTATTATGATCAGGCAGGACAGTTAATTATCAATCCCATTTTACGGATGAGAAACTAAAGATGAAAGAGATGAAGCCAATTGTCCCAGTGTTACAGGCAGAAATTGGCAGTCCCCGTGAGGACTGCGGTCTCATCACGCCTGACTGTCTGGTCTTCATCACACACTGTATCAGGATCAGAAACTCGGTATCTCTCTTGCATACTTTCTCTTAGGCTAAAGATTTGGGAAGACAGAAATAAGTAAGGACAATGACTAGGAGAATCCGTGACTCTGGCATAAACAAAGGATTGGTCCATTCAAATTCTGTAATACAAGCAGGTACGTATGGTCTAACAATCTTTGAAAATTAAATAAAAGGTTGACAATGATAGTAATTTTCAAAGAAGGCTATTGGGAAGAATTCTCAGTAATTCCAGAAGTTTAAATTGCAATAGCCTACAAAATACAGTTAATTGCCCCTTAATGTTATTGATTATAAACAGGAAAGGAGCATTAAAAGTTATCATATGAACAACCAGAGAAACAATATGATGTGCCCAAACTCACAATGCCACCTTCAGGGGTAACTATTTTTTAAGTATCCTTTATCATTTTAGCCAAGATATTTCCTTAGTTATGAAGAAAATCCACATACAAGAAGTGGATCCAATACTGTGCTGGAGACAACTTGTACAGGCAGGTGAGAGCCTATTTTAAGCATCTCTTCCCAAACTCCACATTTAGTGATGTCAATTTGGTGGCTTGAAATCGGTCACCGTCGGAGTATTTATACCATAGAAATCGGCAAATGCTACAAATCCCTCTCCCCTACTCCCCACTCTAGAGCCAGCTGTTAAACATCTACCAGCACACTACTGGCTGAAATGTACCCTACTCATTGGAAACCAAATAGAGCAAAGGCTGAAACCCAATCACACCTCTGCTTACACTTCAGCAAATTCTCTCCTGCCTCTCACTGATCAGGGGTCCCCGAGATCTGGAACTTTCTACACAGAAGAGGAATACTCATTTCCTTTAATAACTATTCACTGAATACCTACCATGCACCTTGCAGTAAGCTGTGGGTAGGGAGACAGGGGACACATGACCAGGAAAGACAGTGCCCCGACTGTCATGAGAAGACAGTCCACTGGACACGTGGGAATCGAGGGCACCTGGCTGGCGAAGACTGAGGAAAGAAAACTCGGGTTTGAGGGACAACTGTCCAAGGGATCAGATATATTTATTAGATCTACACAAAAGACAGGTGGCCCTCGGAAACAAAAAGGGAAATCAGAAGCCCTTAAAAAAAAAGTCTTTCCAAGGATTCCCATTTGACTCTGAAATCTGATTCCATCTACTGTTTCAATATGATTCCAAATGTTTTAGTTGGTAATAACACTGATATCCTGAGGCTATTCTTAAAAGTCTAGCTGTCACAAACCTACCTTTTTGAGTTTCTTTATCGTCACCTGCAGATCCCCTACTTCTGTTTCATACTGACGTCTGAGGTCAGTGAGAGCTTCCTCAGCTTTGCGTTTTTCCTAAAAGAAAAAAAAAAAAGATTTTGTTGATTTAAATAGGTTCTTCAAAACCCCATGGGGAGAAACATTTTGTGTCAAACTAAGGCTCATCCCAAATCTCCTCCAGGGGAGGGTGGGAAGGATGGCGGAAGTGAACCGGATGACTTCAGAGCTGAAACCTACAAAAGTGAGAAAACTGCAGACCCACAACCTCCATCCACACATCACCTGGAATGACACCTCTAACGCTATTACTCACAGGTGATGGAGGGCCGCAGCACATCAAGGAACTAGTTAATTAATTATTGCTGTTATTAGTTAAAGGTATGGCACAGCCAAGGGCCCCAGCGCTTACCTGAACCCTATCATGTCATCAGGATGCAGGAAGACCTGGTGGGTTTACCATTTTTCCAAGAGCTCATGCCTTACCTAAATTCAAATCATATCATCTGCAAATTTCTATGCCGAGTGCCTCCCTATAGGCTGCTATTTCTTGAAGGTGTCCCCCTGGAGCAGAGAAGGGCAAAAGGGCCCCCCAGGAGGTCAGCGGCTGAAGCTCCCATGAGCCCGAACATCTTCAAGTTTCCTTTCTCTCTTAACAAATTACGGAATTTTATATCCTAGGTTCAGTATTCAAATAAAGTTTTATATGAATATCTGGGGAAACTGAGTGTACAAATAGCCGACGATGGCCTGCTAGACACCACGAATGGCTCTAGGCATGGGGAACAGAGGAGCAGATGCTCTCATGCATCCTGGTGGGGACACAGAAAATCGATGATTTCAGAAGTGACACTAAGAAGAAGATAAAGTAGGGAGATGTGGCAGGAAGCGAGTCAGATGGGGGTCAGGCAGCGCCTCTGCAGAGGTGGCCTGATCCCACATCTGAACACCTGCCAGAGTTACAGGTCTTACTGCCCAATGACCGACTGTCAGCAGGGACAACAGACTTAACTTCTGGGTGCCACCATTTCCTTATTGGATTATCATGAGGATTACATTAATTATCTAAGTAAATTAAATAATCCACATAAATTAGATAATCCATGTAAATTAAATAATCAATGCTTAGAAAGAATGCTTAGGAGAAGAGCAACATTTTCACTCATGATAACCTTTTTTTACGAGTATCTTGACTTCCTCCAGCTTTACAAGTAAGGCATCAGGTGTCACCCCCTGTACAGGTGGGTGAGGACAGGGAGGCCTCACAAGGAGGTGTGAATGTGGGCAGCCTTCGTGGCATCAAAACGGCCTTGGATGCCATTCAGTGTCTCTTCACTAAATCTGTGGCCACAGCTTCAAACATAACTTTTCTGGTTTAAAAGTATTTTATTCAGAGCTCAATAAAGGAAATTATCACTATCTAGCTTTTTCCATTCCCAACCTGTGACAGGTAGATGCCAGGAGATCAGACAGGAGGAAGTCACAGTACTGTGAGTGAGAAATGGTGGTGGTTCAGACCAACTCATCACTGCCTTCCAGAACACTGAAACAGAGAGAACACTTCCCAACTCATTCTATGAGACCAGCACTAGCCTGACACAAACATCAAAGACATTAGACGCTGGCCCCATGGCCAAGTGGTTAAGTTCACGCGCTCGCTTCAGTTGCCCAGGGTTTCATCAGTTCAGATCATGGGTGCAGACCTAGCACCACTCATCAAGCCACGCTGAGGCAGCGTCACACATAGCACAACTAGAAGGACCTACAACTAGAATATACACCTATGTACTGAGGGGCTTTGAGGAGAAGAAGAAGAAAAACAAAAAAAGATTGGCAATGGATGTTAGCTCAGGGCCAGCTTCAAAAAAAGAAAATGAAAGACATTACAAGAAAACTATAAACCAATATCTTTTATGAGCATGGATGCAAAAATGACAAATTCAACAATATATGAAAAGAATAATACATCATAACCAAGTCTGGTTTATCACAAGAGTGCAAGTTTGTTTTAACACTCAAAAGTCAGTCAATGGGGGCTGGCCCCAAGGCCAAGTGGTTAAGTTCGCTTTGGCGACCCAGGGTTTCACTGGTTCGGATCCTGGGCATGGACATGGCACTGCTCGTCAGGCCATGCTAAGGCGGCATCCCACATGCCACAACTAGAAGGACCCACAACTAAATAACATACAACTATGTGCTGGGGGGATTTGGGGAGAAAAAGCAGGAAAAAAAAAAGATTGGCAACAGTTGTTAGCTCTGGTGCCAATCTTTAAAAAGAAAATTCAATTGATGTAGTTCATATATTAATATTCTAAAAAAGAAAAAAAAAACACAATCATTTCAATAGACACAGAGAAAGCATTTGACAAAATTCAACATCTATTCCTGATGAAAACAGCAACTCCCAGCAAACCAGGAATAGAGGAACATGCTCAGATTAATAAAGGACATCCACGAACAATATGCCACCAACACCACACTTCCTGTTGAAAGACTGAATGTAGACAAGGATGCTGCTCGCGTCGCTTTTCTTCTTCTAACCAGTGCAATAAAGAAAGAAAAATAAATAAAATGATCATCCAGATCATAAAGAGAAGTAAAACTGTCTTTATTCATAGATTACATAACCATCTACCTAGAAAATCTGATGGAATCTACCAAAAAAGCAACTGAGCACAAACAATGTAAATGACGCTACAGGGTAAAAGACCAATATACAAAATCACGTGTTTCTACATATTCACAATGAACAATCAGAAAGAGAAATTTTTAACAACACTGTTTGGATTAGCATTAAAATATCAAATATTTATGAATAAATCTGAGAAAAGACAAGGAAGATCTGTATATCGAATTCTACAAAACATTGCTAAGAGAAATTAAAGATGACCTAAATAAATGGAGACTACATCACATTTGTGGATCAGAGTATTCAACATTATTAAGATGCCAATTTTCCCAAAATTATCTATAGATGAGACAAAGTCCAACCAAACTCTCAGCAAGTGTGTGTGTGTGTGTGTGTGTACTTTTCCTTTTTTCTTTTTTAGAAATTGACAAGCTGATTTTATGGAAATTAAAGGACCTAAAATAGCCAAGACATCTTTGAAAAAGAACAAAGGTAAGAATGAATATTACTTGATTTCAAAACTTACTATAAAGCAATAGTCATCCAGATAATGTAATATTGGCATAAAGATAGACAAATCAATCAATTGACCAGAATGGAGAGCCCAGAAATAAACCTACACAAATACAGTGGACTGATTTCGGACAGAGAGCAGAGGTGACTCACTGGAGAACAGAGAAGTCTTTTCAACAAACAGTGTAGGAACAACTGGATATCACATGCAAAACATATGAACTGTGATCCATACCTTGCAAAACGGATCCTAAAATGTAAAACGGATCCTAAACATAAAACCTAAAACAATAAAACTTATAGAAGAAAACACAGGAGAAAATCTTTGTGACCTTGAGTTAAGCAAAGATTTCTAAAATACCAAAAGCACAATCCATGAAAGAAAAAATTGACAAATTGGACTTCACTAAAATAAAAAATTTCTACTCTTCAAAAGACACTGTTAGGAGAATGAAAAGAGAAGTCACAGCCAGGGAGAAAATATTTATAGATTAGAATATATAAAAGAATTCTCATAATTCAACAATAAGAAAACAACCTAATTTTGAAAATGAGCAGAAGAGTTTAATGGAGACCTCATCAAAGAAGATATACAATGGTGGCTTGACAAGGAGCGACAAAGAAGGGGGGCATAACAAAGGGACATGAGGAAACTTATAACCATTATCTTGATTGCGGTGATGGTCTCACAGTATATACATATATCCCAACATCATATTCTAACTTGAGATGTGTGCAGTTTCTTGCATGCCAATCACACCTCAATAAAGCTGTTACAATATATTTTAAAAAGCTAACTGAAACAACGGAAGATACACTATATGTGCCACAGCAGTCAAAGTCGGGAAGAGAAGAACAAGGCTAGAGGATTAGGGTTGGGCATTAAGGAGAAAGGGAGACTTTCTCTGAGCTGTGATGAACTTAGGAAAAAGGAAAGGAGTGGAGCAACAGTTATCACGGCAAAGAAGACAGCCAGAGAGAAGCAGAAGAACGAGCCAGGCCAGATCTGTAGGGTGAAGAACCACAGGCACCCGAGGGGAGCTGGGCTCACAGAGGGAAGTCAGGGAAAATCTTCAGTTATCCTGCATGTGTGGTTCCAAAGAGACTGCTTAGAAGGGTGTGAGGTGGAGACTAGGATGGGCTGGCAAACAGGTGCCATCCCAGTGCAAGTGGGCATTGGTGTGCTCAGGCTTCACAGACCACATCCATCCAGCAACTGACTGGCCACGTATGCCACCACCATGGAATACAGAAACGATGGTGTGGATGCCACACAGTTGCCACCCCTGTGCCAGAGCCAAGGAAACCAAGGAAGAGGTTATAACTAACAAAACACGAGTTATAAGGTCTTCATTACCAATAACAAATGTGGGAAGTACTTAGCTGGAAGAAGCAATGAGATTTGATGACAGAGTAATACATGTGCTTGGTAAGTGTTTGACGAATGAATGAGTGTACAGATTAAATGGATGGAGAAGAAAAAAGGCAGACAAAATATGATTTTATGTTTCTAGACTACAAAAATTAAAGTGCTAGCACAAGAATGGGATAGCCATTGCCCTAAAGCTGGACCATGGACTCTGAACCAATTCGCTCTGTTGCATACGACATCCAAACAGTTATTCAACTTGTTATTAAGAGAAAAGACAACCAAGAGACCCAAAGCCAAATTTGTGGTCAAATCGTTTAAGATGAAGAATCTGAAAGGACACACAGTACACAGAGCAACAGAAAAGAGCAGGACAGCACAGCCACAGTGCACCCCCACGCCTCGCGCCCTGCACTAGGCGCTCCATACAAATCGTAAGGCTTAAGCCTGGTTAAGGCAGGGAGGTGGCATCATCTCACTCAAAGGCTCAGAGGTGAGTTATTTTCCCAGTGCACCTAACCTGGACAAGGGCGGCACCAGGAGGCAAACCAAGGTTAATGGGATGCTCACATGCAGGCCCTTCTTGCTCCACTGTGCCGCCTCTCGGAGTTAACAGGGCAAACGAAAAAAACGAAAAAAGGAACGTTCAGGGGCCAGCCCAGTGGCGCAGCTGTTAAGTTCACATGCTCCACCTTGGCAGCTCCGGGTCAGCAGGTTTGGATCCCGGGCACAGACCTACACACCACTTGTCAAGCCATGCTGTGGTGGTGTCCCACATACAAAAAATAGAGGAAGATTGGCACAGATGTTAGCTCAGGGACAATCTTCTCAAGCAAAAAGAGGATGACTGGCAACAGATGTTAGCCCAGGGACAATCTTCTTCACCAAAAAGAAAATAAATGAAAAAAAATGCAACGTTCATCCTAACGAGCTACTCAAAAAGTAGGTCTGTTTTCCCTAAACATTAATCACCCAAACATATTTTATAAGGAAGAAGAGAATTATTTATTCTATGGAAATCACTGAAGGAAGCATCCAACTTTCAACTCTAAGAGTTCCTATAATGATGAACAAAAATATATTCCACTATAAAACACCAATGTTCACAGAGAGAATTTCAATTTCCCTGTAACCTAGATTTCAGGCTGTCAGTGGACATGGGCAGTGAGACAGTGGTATGTAAAGGTCCAGCCACCCTAGCTCTGCCTTCTCCCTTGGCCTCAGCTCTCACGTCACCCCCAAAGAGGCCCCTGACCTTTCAACCTGATGCAGCCTCCTCACCCAGTTGCTGTCCATCACACATGCTGTTTCTTTTCTTTTTTTTGAGGAAGATTAGCCCTGAGCTAACATCTGCTGCCAATCCTCCTCTTTTTGCTGAGGAAGACTGGCCCTGAGCTAACATCCGTTCCCATCTTCCTCTACTTTATATGTGGGATGCCTGTCACAGCATGGCTTGCTGAGTGGTGCCATGTCCGCACCCGGGGAACCCCAGGCTGCTGAAGCGGAATGTGCACACACAACTGTGCTACACCACCGGGCCAGCCCCAGCACGGATGCTGTTTCTTTACTGCGCTTGTCACTATTTGAAGTTATCTGCTTTATTCATTTGATTACTTGTTTATTATCTCTCTCTCCCTACCCTATTCCCCAAAGACCACCACCATAAAACACGCATTCACTGACAGTCCCTGTGGGAGCCTGGCCTCACTGCACTCAGAGGATGCCCGGTGCTCACTCCATAAAAGGTGCCCCATAAGGACTCATCGTATCAGGGCCCATCCCACAAACTCACGTCTTTCCGCGTCTTGTGTTCTGCAGCCTGAATCCTCTGATCCATTTCCTCTTCCAACTCACTCAACTGTATGGCGGCCTTGTCCTGGGCCCTGAAATTCAAGAGGATGTGCACCTTCTCATCATACTCTTGGACTTGTAACACGAACAGAAAACATCGACCTCATCTATTTCAAGCCGTCTACTTTACAGAGGAGGAGAAACACACCACTTAAAATAATATTCCCCATTCCTTCTGCATAATAAAATGAGATTGGCAATTTGATCATTTGAGTGTAAAAGGACATTAAGACTAAATATTAAATAAATGGAATAGATTAGATAAAATTGTATTAAACTAGATTGTGGCAAAGAACAGATAAATATACCAAATTGCTGAGAGGCTCTCGATAAATTCTGAAAATCCTTTTTGCTGCCATGACCGAGCCACAACCCTGAACAAAGGAAAAGATTCCCTGGCAAAGAGGTGGTTAGACATACTTTTGAAGTTGTATTTTATGAAACACACAATGTTATATGCTATAGTTAGAAAGGAAAAAAAGAGGGGATCTCAACAATTATTTCTAATCAGTTCCTGAAAGTTCTAGAATGTAGACACGGTTAGCCTTAGAAAAATTCTTTCTTTTATTAATATAATCAATAAATCACATCTCTATGGAGGCATAGCATACTGATTTGCCAAAAAGTTAGAAATGGGAAAATTTCTTTGAGAAGAGTTCCAGGATGGTTTTATTTAGCAACCGTCTATAGGGAGATGTCTGTCACTTCACAGGTGTTGAGGCTTCAGATTAAACCCTAAAAAAGTATTTTTTATTCTCTCTCACCTGCATATGTCGTGCCTGCTCAACTAGATTATAAGTGACCTCAAAGCAGACACCACGAGATTTAGGGGGTCAATTCACCTGATCAATGACACGCTGTTAATAACAAGCGGAGAACAAGAGCGAAACGTAAGACCTCCTGTTTCCCAGTTCGACGGGCTTCTGTCACATCATCCCACCCGCTTCAACTTAACTGCTCCCTCGCAACACAATTTGTTCAGGCATTAGTTTAACTTCCTCAGGAAGCTCCAAACAAACGCTGAGGTATGTGGGGAAGACCCCAAAGTAAATTGTGAGTGACTTACTATGATTTTCTGCTCTTGTTTACTTCGTCTTCACCTATTACCTGCCCAAGATTATGTTAACTAAGTTTGGTAAGCCAGCTAGTTCTAATTTGTTTATAAATACTTTCTATTTTGAAGTCTAGCAATTGTATATCTCTGTAGCAACTTTGTTTTGGTGTTTTGTTTTGTTTTTTTAAGATTTTTTTTCTCCCTTTTTCTCCCAAAGCTCCCTGGTACATAGCTGTGTATCTTTTTTTTTTTTTTTTTTTTGAGGAAGATTAGCCCTGAGCTAACTACTGCCAGTCCTCCTCTTTTTGCTGAGGAAGCCTGGCCCTGAGCTAACGTCGAGCCCATCTTCCTGTACTTTATATGTGGGACGCCTACCACAGCATGGTGTGCCAAGTGGTGCCATGTCCACACCCAGGATCTGAACCAGTGAATACTGGGCCACCGAGAAGCGGAACATGCAAACTTAACTGCTGTGCCACTGGGCCGGCCCCTATTTTGGTGGGGTTTTTTGGGGGGGGGTTGTCAACTCTGGAACTGTAAGTAGCTAAGCCACATCTCCCATCTCCCTTTGCTATGACGATTTTTTCCAGCCATTCCTTCTAGACATCCAGTCCCAAACATCTGGGCTCTGGGACTGCTTTGTCCCACTTCTGAGCAACCTTGGGTTTTTTTGGTAAATCTGGGCAGTCTACAATGACATGGTGTTTGCCCCAGCAATTCCTAATTGCTAGGAAAATGTCTGGTGTGTTGGGAATGTCCCCTGTAACCCAGTCCAGGGCTCCTACCAGGACACTGGGAACCCATTCTTCAGGTCCAGGTGCAGAGCACAAGGACTGAGACCCTCCCCCAACCAAAAACAGAGGTGAGGACAGAGGGTCCTCACCTAAGAAAGTACCAGAGAGTCACAGCAGTCACTTAAATGCTGCAGCGAGGTCTCTGATAGCCCGGGCTCAGGACACAGCCTGACTCTGGATCCCACCTAGAGAGCACAGACGGGAGGAGGAGAGAAGCACTGACAGCTCAACAAAATGTGACACACTCACTCCACAGCGGGACAGCAGCCCTGCTGGCCATGAGAACAGAAAGAACACCATTCTTGTTTTCCCTTGTGGGTCTACACAGTACTACCCTTAGCGGTTGTGTGAGTGTGAGTGTGAGAGTCCCCCTCATATCTTGGTGTAGACCTGGGTATGTACACGTGTGTGTGTATATGGGAGTTTGTTTTAACAGATATTTCCTGGACACTCGAAGACTCAGTCTGCACGTCTGCTAGTCAGCCCTCAGAGGAGGCCGACTGTGGGGCTCTAAGCATCCTCCACAATGCTCTACAGAATCTGGAGCTCTGAGGACCACTCTATTATCCTACTGAAAGCCCCTAGCAGGCAAACGTGAGGGAAAAGATCACAGGCAGGAACTGAAAATGTCCATAAGAAACCCTCTGTGAACAGTCCAACTCTTGCACAACTCTAGGACTATTAGAAAAAAAGTCCCAGGGCTGGCCCAGTGGCACAGTGGTTAAGTTCACATGCTCTACTTCGGCGGCCCGGAGTTCGTAGCTTCCGATGCCAGGTGTGGACCTACATACTGCTCACCAAGACGTGCTGTGGAAGAATCCTGCATATAAAGTAGAGGAAGACTGGAATGGATGTTAGCTCAGGGACAATCTTCCTCAGCAAAAAAGAAAAAGAAAAAGTCCCGTTTAGCATCACTATTTTAAAACATTTTTTCTTCTACATTTTAATTCCCTCCAGTTATTCCAAGGGGTCAACTAAATAGTTTCATCATCATGTTGAAGGGAAAAATAAAGAGAGAGAGGAGCAGCCCTTGCCTACCCCCAAGCAGACAGAGAGCATCCAATCAAAGGGGCCTTTTACAAGTTCTGGGCAGAGACCAGCAGGGTGCACAGCACGCTCGGAGCTGCTGGTGGAGCACAGGGCAGCGAGAAGCACCTGTGGGGCAGAACACCCAGGAACTGTGACAAACTACCCTCTTTCCCAATATATGTCAAAGGAGTGTGGTCCTTCCAGGGAGCAAGAGGATGGTACGTGGACTGCAACACGTGATTATTCTTTGGTACTGGGCTGCTGTTGAAGCAGTAAGAGATCCTTCGTAAGCCTGCTCTGGCAGATGCAAACCGGCTGTGTAACAGGAAGGCCTGCACACTTTTAGGGTTTCAGTTCAGGCTGGGGAACGAGGGCCAGAGAGAGGGAAAGAAGCGTGACTGAGCACAGCCATGTGCTGGGCCCCTGCGAGGGGCTCCCCACACGACCCTGAGGAGGTGAATATTTATGGCCTCATTTTGCAGACGCAGAAGCTGAGACTCAGGGAGATGAAGTACCCTGCCCGAAGTCCCGCGCCTGCCCACGACAAAGCCAGGCTTCAAATGGAGGCCTGGCTCCCTCTCTGGATGAAAGTTTCCTGCGTGTTTCAAGCGGCTGGGCGTGAGATAATAAATCTCTTTGAACTGTTCTGTGTGGAAGCACGGCCTTGAAGAGTTTGTGTGACAGGGTCACAGGGACCTGCTAATGAACTGCTGACTGACCCTATGAAGTACTGCCAGACTCAACTTACCCTCACACTGGCTTAGTTTAGAAGGCTCCAGATTCCTGAGGATCAGAAGTCCTCCCACGTCATACTGTGATAATGAGGCCAGCCCGTGCGCACCCGGGGCAGAGAGCCGGTTAGGGGACCCCGTGAAAGGAGGACCTCAGTACCTCTTCACAGCAATGGCCAGGTTCTCCATTTCCGTGCTCTGAAGTCTGATCTCACGAATAAAGTTCTTTATGACATGTTCATACGGCTGAATCAGTCTGGGCTCCACGAGGTTGATGTTTTGGTACAAGGTACTAACTTGCTCTTTCCTGCAAAAAAATAATAATAATAAAATTAAATTAAACCAAGTAAAAAATAAAAAGGCAGACTTTTAGGAAAAAAGCAAAGAACCAAGGAAGAAAAAAGCAGCAATAGTAGAATGACTAGAATGGAGGGAAGACAGCAGTCAGAGATCCTGTTGCATTATTCTCTATATTATATTTTTTACAATGGAATAGCAGCTTTAGTTTTTTTCCAGCTTTATTGAGGTATGATAGACAATAGAAACAGCATATATTTAGGTTGTACAATGTGATTTTTTTTTTATTATTTTGGTGAGGAAGATTGGCCCTCAGCTAACATCTATGCCAATCTTCTTCTATTTTGCATGCAGGATGCCTCCTCAGCATGGCTGATGAGTGGAGTAGGTCCATGCCCAGGATCTGAATCCTTGGACCCGGGATGCGGAAGTAGAGCGAGCAGACCTTTAACCACTCGACAATGGGGCCGGCTCTCAATGTGATGTTTTTAAGGTGTACAATGTGATGATTTAACATTAGAAGATGTTAGTGCATAAGGGCATTGGAAATGCACATAGGGAAAGATTGGTTTTGTCCCCAGTAAAGTGTATTTCAGGCTTTATGATCAAAAGAGTACATACCTATTATTTTCCAGTTAAAAATTACTTCATATAAATTCATGTTTATGTAAGTATTTATATTTGACAATCCTCACACTTGTTATTTAATAACTTTTATTAAAAGACAAATATTTCAGAGTCACTTCAAAACAAAAATTGATAAGGCTGGCAGCTGGCTAGCAGTGCCCCTGACTCAAGTTTAGCAGCTGGTGTGCTAAATGGAATGTGGCGTGGTCTCTGAAGAACGTGCCTGTAGAAGTCAACCACCATCACTGCACGCTGCGGTGTGGGACGTAATAACCGCCTGACTCCCCACCACATCCAAAGCTTCTCTGGATCGAGGGACCCATACTGTCCTCTCTGGACAGCTTCCCCCGACAGAGCCCGTGCACCCTGGCCTTCCTTCTTCTGACCCTAGGAGAGAGCCACGCTTGCGAAGAGTTAACACAAGCTGTGACGGTGTTGTCACAGTAGCAGCACTTTTTTAAAAGAGAGACCATTCTGCCAGTTGAAAGAAGAGATGCCAGGAATTTAGATAATAGGCACTTATTTGGGCCTGAGATGATAACTTATCATCATATCAGCATTACAGAATTCTATCAATTCTCGCCAAGTCTACAAGTGATGAGTAGAGCCAACAATCATAGGAAACCTAACCGCTTTTACACATTGCGTTATTTAAAAATCATCCAGTGTTTGCATAATTCTTACATTCAGTGATCTACTGCCTGGATTGTATAGTTACTCCCCTGACAATGTGAAAAATCCTTCTGTTGCCTGCCCTAACAGAGAGAGACTGCTCTTCTCCAGTGCTTATCTAGCTCTGGTAAAACTTTTGGGCAGGCCCCTACAGGAACCAGGATGTCTGAACACATCTCACAGTCATTTATGGTGGCCAGTGACACCAGACTGACAACCAATGAAGACCACTCAGAAATCCTAGTACCAAATTCATACGCATCCACTCGATCAACAACCCCTGGGCTTCTGCCCTGTCACTCTGTTGAAGGCAGCCTGTTACAATGCTATAAGTATACAAGAAAGACTACAATACTCCTAGGCCTCTATAATTGAAAGACTGTGCATACAGCCATCTCCCAAGTTGGATACATGACATAGCTAGACATAATAAGACAATGATTATAATAAAAAATAGTTCTATTCAGTGAGTACTCACTATGTGTTATTATGTTAGGCAATTTGCATGCATCATATCTTTGAATACTCAGCACACAACTACCCTATGAAGCACTTGTATTGACCCATTTTGCAGATCAGGCAGGGCTAAGTGCTTATTACGGGCTGAACTGTATCCCCTAAAATTCATATGTTGAAGTCCTAACCGAGGACCTCGGAATGTGACTATATTTGGAGAAGGGGTTTTTAAAGAGGTGATTAAGTTAACATGAGGCCATTAGGGAGGGCCCTAACCCAATATGATTAGCATCCTTATAAGAAGAGTAAATTTGGACACAGCCGTGCACAGAGGGAGGACCATGTGAAGATTCAGGAAGGCGGCCACCTACAAGCCAAGAAGAGAGGCCCCAGAAGAAACCAACCCTGCCGACACCTTGATCTGGCTTCTAGCCTCCAGAACTGTGAGAAAGTAAAATTCCATTGTTTAAGCCACCTAGTCTGGTATTCGTTACCACAAATACCTAGGTGAACATAGAAAATGAATACAGTGCCCAAGGTCACATCATGACTGAGTGGCAGGGTTAGGACTCAACCTTAGTCTGATGCTGGAGACCATGTGATCAACCATTACATTATATTGCTTCTGAACTGGGTGAAACAGCTGAACCTTGGCAGAAGAAATGGGATTCAAAATCAATCCACAGAACTAGGAAACTGCAAAACGTGAGGTTTATATTAACCCAAAGCTTAGTTAAGCACAGCCCCAAGGTGTGCCCATGCAGCTATAAAGTCTCCCAGGTTTGCTCTTATAAATGACCTGCTCGATCTGTGCAGGGGCCAATTATGATTCAAATAGCTGCTCGAGTGAAACATTAATAACCCTGCAGGAGTCAATCACTTTGGCAATAAAAGACACTGAATGGCGGTCATCATCCTACCCATCAGAACTGAGCACAAATACCCATTGCAGGTGTGAGCCAGATTTATTAGAGAGCAGAGTTAAAAAAAAAATTCTACTCTTAGATTGTCCGATGTAATTTCAAAACACAACAGGATCATTAACTTCTTTGCCTTTTGTCATTTACTGACCACCAGCAGGATATGAAGCATAAAAACTTTCTCAGTAATAGGAACCTGCCTGTCAGGGATGGCCACTAAGAAACTGTCACCTTGAGTCCTTGTTTACTGGCTAACTGCACAACAGGAATATGTTCAGAAGTGGATGTTCCAGTAGATTCTCTGACTTTCTGCAAATTTCTAAAATAAGAAAGAAAGATAATGATTTGGAAATTCTCTTGGGTCCTTTGCTGGTCCTGGCCTTACATGGAATTTTACTTATATTCATTCTCATTCATTCTCTCTCTGCCTCTCTCCCTCCACCCCTTTTCCTTCTGTGTATCTCTCTCCTTTCTCCCCACTCTTTCTCATCCTTGCAGCTGAAGTGAATAACTCCAATATGGCAAAGCCATGGGAGGAGATGGGTTTGGATGCCTGAATCACCAGAGTGAGGGAAACTGCCCAGGAGAGCTGCCTGACCATCTGCCTGACATGTGAGAAAGAATTAAGTTTGTAATTTGTAAAGCTACCAAGACTTGGAAGTTGTTGGCTACAGTGATTCTGAGCTTAAAAAGTTACCATTATAGTTTCCTGTTTTGCTTTTTTATCATCCTCTTCCGGATTAAATTATATCCTAACCTCCTTCCTTGATGGCTTCATATTAACTAAGTAATAAAATTTCTATGACCAGGTCGGTCTGTATCACCACCACCCACTCTGTTTCAAGGGAACGAGAGACTGTTCTGAAGCATTTATATACTGAAACAGACATTTATTAAGCACCTGACATATGCAGTCCTGGCAGTGACCTCAGCATTTATATGCACTGCCCACTTAATCCTCATGACGACCACATGAAGAAGTTATCACTAGTGTCCTCTCTACCACAGAGGAAACTGAGGCAGAGGGAGGGAGGTAAGTACTATTGGGTAGCAGAGCTGGAATTCCAACTCAGCCATCTGGCTGCAGGGCCAGCTCTCCACAGAGAAACTAGCCCTTTGTGCCAAAGTAAGTGCTGAACTGGTCTTTCAGGGGCCCCAAGTGTTGTCTCCATTTAAAAACTACTTTTGAGGAGGATAGGTATTACTGATACAAGGACTGTCCACATTACAAAGGGACTCCTTTAAAGAATGAAGGCATGACTAAGATTAAAATGAAATAACCTTATAAAATGCTGTTCACCTAAAGCTATTTTGGGGGAAAGCACTACTGCAGACAGTAAGGCACACTCGCCTCTTTGCCCTGCCCTTATCTGCCTGTGTGCTTCATGTGGTTTGTATCTGTGAAAGGAGAGAATCATCCAGATTATGCCAAGAGATGGCAACATAACGCATTTGGCAATTTTGACACTTGATGGAAAAAAATAAAACCAAAAAATATGTTATTGTAACAAGAGGTCACCCCAGGTCCCTCTGTGGAAGATTTAAATGCTGTGCCCTGCACAGGCAGCTGAACACCTGCAGATTCTTCAGCTCAAGAGACTTGGTGCCAGGACAATCTTCCGTTCCGCTCCTGAGAGTACAGCAGTCACTGGCCTCCTGGGCTGTCCTTACTCCTGATGTCAGAGGTTAAACAAGCAGAGGCTGCACAACGCTCACACACAGCTCCGTTTCCTTCTAGGCTGACCCAGTGTGGCACGTGTGAGTGCTGACAAGGGTGCCCAGGAGTGCCAATGGTTGAAGCACTTTTAATTCCTGAAGCCCAGGGCCTCATCTAAGGCAATTACACTTGGATTCACAAATACCATGTAGATCTGTTTACAGGTGTACTTGACAAAGACTAAAGTTTAAGGGTCAAGTTTTACATGTCAGTCAGCCAAGACAAAAACCAGTCTCTACTTCCGTGCTGACAAAGCCCATCACGCTAAAAATAATCTAATTGATGTCTCAAGAAAAATGCACCCTGAATTTCAATCCAGTTTTAGATGCTTAAAATCTGAGCCTATTCATCTCCTCGTTCAATAAATTACAAGATGATTTGTATGAAAGACAGTGGTAATGGCTAATTACTGATGAAAAACTCAGAACTTAAAGTTTTAAAATGATCTCTGGGAAACAAGCATTTTAGATTGCAAATATTCCCACTGAAGCTGACAGGGTTATTATATGAACTTAAAAGAAAAAAACAGGTATACTTGAGGTGCAGAAAAATTTTAAAAGGTCACACCTTTTCTTAAGATTAACATTTTACTTAGGGGAGCACACATCTATCTCTGTTTCTCTGTGTGTGGTGTGGTAAGGCTGGTACTTAGAATGCCTGGACTCCTCTGGCCTCAGGACATCCCCGGGAAACAGTCAAGTGCAGACACCACCACTCCAAGCTAAGGAACATGGTGATCCAGAAAGGCTGTTAGGAAAACTGGCTTTTAGATTTCAAGACTTGGTGTTTTAAGCATTAAAATACAGAGCAAAGCTATTTATTCAAACTATAAGTTGTATAGATCTAAAACCCTAAACACTTTTCTGTGAACCAAAGCAACTGTATTCAATGCAAATATCTCCCTCGTTCTACACTAGGAACTGCCATAAAAAAATGGACACAGTCACCCTACATCTGAGCATGGGAAGTAAAACCTCCGTACCATCCGAGGAGCACCATGTTAGATTCTGGAAATCAAATGATGAGAAACAGACTGAGTCCCTTCCCTCGTTAGGCTCACCAGGAAGATTAAGTACAAGAGGCTCTGACAGCAGAAAGCAGGCGAATGTGACCAAGTCCTGGGGGATAACCGGAGGATGAATAGACGTCAATTAGGCAGAAAGTGAGGAAAGTGGGGTAGCCTGTCCCAGCAACCAATAACTACAGGCTGAGAGGCTTGGGGACAGGTCAGCAGTTCCTGTAACTGGAAGAAACTGGCGAGGCTGCAGAGCTCAAAGTAGGGGAGGGAACAGCGGCATCAGATAGCGGGAGAAGTTAGCAGGAGCTAGATGACTGCACAGGGCTTGAGAGCACAGTAAAGACATGGGAAGGTGGGAAGACACCGAAGGGTTAAAGGAAGAGATGACATGACCAAGTTCGCATCTTAATTATTCCCATCTTCACAAAGTTTTAGCTGAAGCAGAGAATTAAGCAAAGGAACCTGAAATAAGTTTGCAGATATAAAGGTAAATCTAAGTCCACTGTAATTTAATCCAGAAATATGGGACATCAGGTTTTCATTAGCTTCCACTTTCCCTTATTATAGAATGTGTAAAAGTACAGATATCTAAAATCTGATAGTATAGACAAACAGATCAATGGAACAGGACAGTCCAGAAGTAAACTCACATAAATACAGTCAACTGGTGCTTGACAAAGGAGCAAAGGCAATACAACCAAGATAGTCTTTTCAACAAGTGGTGCTAGAACAACTAGCCATCCACATGGAAAAAAATGAATGTAGACACAGACCTTACTCTCTTCATAAAAATTAACTCAAAATGGATCACAGACCTAAATGTAAAACCCAAAACTATAAAACTCCTAGAAGATAACACAGGAGAAAACCTAGATGACTTTGGGTATGGAGATGACTATTTTAGATACACCACCAAAACCTGATCCATGAAAGAAATAATTGATATCTTGGACATCATTAAAATTAAAAACTGCTCTGGGAAAGACAACGTCAAAAGAATGAGAAGATAAGCCACAGACTGGGAGAAAATATTTGCAAAACACACATCTGAAATGGGACTGTTATCCAAAATATACAAAGAACTCCTAAACCTCAGCAATAAGAAAACAAACAACCCAATTAAAAAATGGACCAAAGACCTTAACAGACACCTCACCAAAGAAGAAACAGATGAAAAATAAGCATACAAAAAGATGCTCCACATCGTATGTCATTAGGGAAATGCAAATTAAAACAAGATATCACTACACACTTATTACAGTGGCCAAAATCCAGAACACTGACAACGCCAAACGCTAACGAGCATGTGGAGCTACAGGAACTCTCATACACGGCTGGTAGGAACGCAAAATGGTACAGCCACTTTGAAAGATAGTTTGGAAGATTCTTAGAAAACTAAGCATTCTTTTACCATATGATCCAGCAATTGCGCTCCTTGGTATCCACCCAAAGGAGTTGAAAACATATGCCCACACAAAAACCTGCACACAGATGTTTATAGCAGCTTTATCCATAATTGCCAACACTTGGAAGCAACCAAAACGTCTTTCAGTGGGTGAATGGATTAATCAACTGTGGTACATCCAGACAATGGAACATTATTCAGGACGAAGAAGAAATGAGCTATCAAGCCATGAAAAGACATGGAGGAAACGTAAATGTATAGTAGTAAGTGAAAGAAGCCGATCTGAAAAGACTGTATACTGTATGATTCCAACTATACGACATTCTGAAAAAGGCAAAACTTGGAGACAATAAAAAGATCAGTGGTTGCCACGGGTTGGAGGAGAGTGTAGAGAGGGATGAATAGGCGGAGAATTTTTAGGGCAGTGAAAATATTCTGTATGATACTATAACGACAGTATACGTCATTACACATTTGTCCAAACCCACAGAATGTACATCATCAAGAGTGAACCCTAATGTAAAATAAGGAATTTGGGTAATTCTGATGTGTTAATATAGATTCAGCAACTGTAACAAATGTGTCACTCTGGTGGGGGCTGCTGATAATCGGGGAGGCTGTGCACATGTAGGGGCAGGCATATATGGGAACCTCCCTCTTAATTTTGCCGTGGACCTAAAACTGCTCTAAAAAATAGTCTGTCTTCCTTTTTTCGTTTTTTTTTTTTTTTTTTACTGTGATAGTTTATTTCTCTTTGTGGGTAAAAATAATGAGTATATTCCCACTAAGGTGACACCAGCTGATCTTGCTAGGTGACCTGAACACACCATACTGTCATTTAGTCAGTAAGTGGAAAGACATCCTTTTCCTCATAGATGTTAAGTAAAAATGACTGATTTCAAAATGTACTTCATTACACAGGACACATACTTCCAGCATAAACCCCAACTAACTAGGAAATAAATTCCAACAGCCAAATCCAGCTGTGCCACTAGAAGAGGGCAGCATTAGCTCTCTTTCTAAAGTTCAAGTCTTTCTTTCTGGACAGGACGTGCCTCTGCCAGCTATTGGCCTCGAGCCGGCTGCCTCTAACTGGAAGTGATTCCAGTCTGAGATCTCACAATACATCTCGCTCTTCATTAACTCAGTTACAGAATGGTCATCCGGCTCTGCCTTCCAGAGAAAACAAACAACGGTCTCTTAAGTTGGTCCTGCCACCTGCAGACTGGGAAGACAAGCCAGTCCGGTGGCCTGGACTTTCCCTGGCTGTTCTGCGGCTGCTCCCTCAGGGGATTATCTAGTTCAGGTAACTCAGTCACCAGCCCTCATCCACGGCTCTCCGCCCAAAGACACCTCCTGCAGGTAGAACTCCTTCCAGATTCACATCACCCTGAAAAATATTTTATGTCCCTAGGTACCTATTTGGGTAACATTCCCCAAAAGGTTTTAAAATGGAAACTTTCTGGAAGATGAGTGTGTTAACTGGATTTATGCAAAATCTAGAAACATTTCAAATTGCAAGTTGCTTCCTATTTAAAATCACTGACATTTAGTAACTGGGAGTTTGCCAGTGGAGGGAGGAAGAGAGAAACTGCAAGAGGCATTGTGATGACGCTTTAGAGAAGGCACACTTGAAACAGAGGGCTTCTGAAGTCCTGAGTGAATAGTGCACGGAATAGGTGTAATGGCCTGGCTAAGTTCAAATGCTTCTTCACCACATCCCGGCTTCGTGCCCCAGGGCAAAATATTTAACCCTTTGAGCTTCAGTTTCCTCAGCCACAAAGTGAGTTTTGGAACTTACCGCATGACATCATGAGGATGAACCCCGACGGAAGCACATGTGACAGCATGAGGCACATTGCAGGCAATCCATAAATGTTAGCCATTGCTATGATCTGTGACTCCTCTGCCTGAATGAGTTAGAAAGAAGCAGGTAATCATCTCCTGCCTGTGTCCGTGTTATGTTCTGTGAAAGGGCTAAAAGGAAGAAAGCAGTGTGGTGTGGATGGCCCATGGACAGAAATGTTGTCCTACAGGTGCCAGTGTAGGGGAAACTGGAAAATGAGAATGGGGTCGTGCCCGAGGTCAGCCTGCAAAGCTCACAGGCCAGGGGCCAGTAAACCTTTTCTATAAAGCATCAGATAGAAAATATTTATGATCTCTGTGGCAACTACTCAACTCTGCCACTGTAGCATGCAAACAGCCATAGCTGTTCACAAATAAACAGATAGATAAACAAATGAGCTTGGCTGTGCTCCAATAAAACTTTATTTACACAAACACGCAGAGGGCCAAATGGGCCTTATTTTAATCCCTATTATAGTCTATTAACATAAGGCCCTGAGCATAGGAATGGGGACGGGGCAATACAGACCTAATCCTTCTATATGGAGGAAAACTGGCTTTTGTTCACATCCTGCCCCAGGGCCACATCAAACCTTTTTATATATGGATATCACATTATCAATGTGCTATACGTGCATACATGTATATATGAGAATATGTACCCTTTTACTTGAGTACTCATCTTACAATGCACATTCACTCTCCCAATATTTCTCTTCCATCAATTTACTTTGAGTTAAGTTAAATGCAGGCATAATCTAGTAATGTTAGTGCAAGTAAGTGTATTATAGTTATTGTTCACTGAAAATTTCTTTCTATTTTGGCAAGAAAGATAGGGGTTGGGGAAAGAATAAAAAGTGCCATATCAGTTTCTATGCAAAATTTCCCTTCAGAAGATATCCATTTCCTTCCCAGATTTGCTGAGGACAATTCTAGTTTACGCTTGTTGTCCTGTATCCTGTCTACTTTAGCATTTATCCAGAATTCTTTTTTTTAATCAAAAAGTCACAGTTAGTAACTATTATTAAACTGTGTACTAACTGTGCATTAAAGTTTTTAACTGCTGCATTAAAATAAGCCAGAGTAAATTAGTGGATCCGCACTGTTTACCTCCAGCGTTTGCCTAGGAGTGTGTGAAACAACCATGCAATGAAAAGACTTCTCATTAATATGTGGCTAAATCTAGGAAGACAATCAGTGATACACTCATCTCCCTTTTCCTGACCTTTCCAGACAGAATGTAACCAAGACCTTCCTTTCAGAAGCAGGAAACAGAGCACCCACTGATAAAACAAATTAAGCTCAGACAAGAGAAGCTGGGGACAGATAACTCCTTCAGGTCTCAGGTGATGGAGAAACACTGGAGCTGGCTGCTTATAGGCCACCTGGAGAACCAGCCAGTTGTGCCGCTACCTGCAAGAGGTGCAATGCTGCCAGGCAGCCGTCTGGCCAAATCAACTCAAAACAGGCACATTACAGGCACAGTGTACTTGAAATAGGTACAGAAAATACAAGTTGGACAGTCCTGCCACAGAGCAATGGAGAGTAACTGGAATGCGCTTCCTACATAATCATAATGATTTCCTACATAATCATTTTTAGTACGGTTTAAAATGTATAACTAGTCATTTTATTAGATGGTAATGCTTTTAGATTTTGCAATAACATAAACCGTTTCAGCAGTAATGACCTCAAAAAACAAACACAGGTGTGTGCTTAATAAAAAGTACCAAATTCCAATTTCTCAAGAAAGACGGTGATAAATGTGTAACTTGCTCGAAATGTTGTTATTGTTAGCTGTCACAGCCAAGAGGAGCTTAAGGAGACATGACAACTATTCCTGGATGGGATTAAAAAAATGGTCATTTGAGGGAATCTGAATAAAGTATGGACTTTAGTTAATAATAACATATCAACATCAGTTCATTAACCGTAACAAATGTACTACACCAATGCAGGCTGTTAATAATGGGAGAGAGTGGGTGCAGGTTATATGGGAATTCTATGTACTATCTTCACGGTGTTTTTGTAAATCTAACATAATTCCAAAACAAAATAACTTATTAAAAAAAATATTTGTCGACATTTATCCTACATCATAGCAGACTAGACTGATATCATTAACCACAAGAAAACCAAGGAGAAAACCAGAAATCTCCTGAAGAGGCCTCAGCATCTCCATCTTAAGAAAACTATGCTTCTCTTGGGAGTCTGCAATTCCCGGGGCAGCTGCCAAAGGTTCACGTACCACCTCCTGGGAAGCACGACTTTTCCTTCCATCAAAGGACGGTTCCTCTAAACGGATTCTGCCCATTTTCAATTCCAAGTTTTCTCGTACAAACGCAGACAGTGAGGAGATAGCTGTCTATGTTATCTCCACTAGCAGAAAAAGAACTTCACAATGTAAACGAGGGTAGTTGATCAGTC